TATCCAACACACACACACACACACACACACACGGAGCTTATCCAACACACACACACACACACACACACACACACACACACACGGAGCTTATCCAACACACACACACACACACACACACACACACACACACAGAAATTGTTTGGCAGACTTTCATCTTACTTGGGATGGTCCATTTCCAAATGCTGTTTCACCAGGTGCTCTACAGCGGCACTCCAGGGGACCACAGCTGCGTACATTATCTTAAGGACAGCATCAAATATGAGCTACAAAGAGACACACACATTGATGAATAATATGGCTCCGGTTTTACGTCTCATGTAAATTAATGGCACTGCCTAATCTACAGCAGAGGTTTTGTTTGAAAACATTTCATCTTCTGTCTGCAAAGGCATATATTTCTTTCAACATTCACTCATGAAGAGCAATTTTATTATTTAAAAGAGTTAAGTATGTTCATTGCTAAAAGCTAAGTTATGTAGCTTTATTACTTTCTACAGATTCATGATTTTATTCATATTTTATAATGGTGACTAATAACAGTGTCAAGTCAAAATAAAGTTACATTACAATACATAAAAAATGTCCATGGTAGTTCTGTGGGTAGGAATGGGAGAAATTCCATTTTTTATTTTCCATAGTTAAAGCGAATCACGGGTAGTTTTTTTTTTTTTTTTCCTTTTTCTTCCTTTCTCATACTATAGAAATTCTTCTTAGCAAATACATGCTGCCTTTGTGATCAGAAAAAAGGCTTTAAGAACTGTGTTAGTTGGGGAGGAATAATTCGGAAAAAGAAGGTGAAAATGGTCATACAACTTGAAGAATGCAGTGAATGTAACTGGATTATCCACGTAGACACTGTTGAATTGGTTTATGTTCTGCTGTGCCATATTCTCAAAAACAACAACACAAAATAAAATTTAAAAAAAAAAACAAAAACTTTGAGAAAAGATTCATAGCTCAAAAGAGCAACCCAAACAGTCATGATTTACTTACATCTGTGTCAGATAAACATCCTATTACTGCCATGGCTTTTGCTTCCCATGCCGTTTCAAAGAGTGACGTAGACTTTGAGCTACACCTCTCCAATAAATCCTAAAAAGCGATAAACATACGTATTTTAAAAATATATGTATACTTTCACTCTAACTTAAAAGACAGAGAGACAGGTAGGTAGGTAGACACGTAGATAGCCTTTATGGATACATAAAAAACAAAAAATTCTAATTGTCATGAAGGTTGAATAATAGTCAAAGAATACAAAATTGCCAAAACTTTAGCCTTCAGTTTTATGTGATACAGAAAACTTAAGAAGAAAGCATTCTTGAAGAATCTATAAATAAGATTATTGCAGCTTACTACCATCTACAAAAAATAATTGCTAATATTTATTGAGCTCATATTCCCATTATCTCACAATAAACTTTTGGAGAAAGTAGTCATATTATGCCCATTTTATAGACAAGAGTTTCAAAGCTTAACTAACTTTCTCAAGGTCACCAGTCAATTAGTAGTAGAATTAACCCACATTCTCAGCCAATACAATCTGCTGCATAAATCCTAATGGGAAAGCATGACATTGCTTAAAGAGTTAAACATTTAATACAAAGTACGCTGCATATACCCAAGAAATATGCTGTATTGATAGAAAAAGTTACCTCTATGTACAGTAGGAGAAGTTCTTCCTCTTGCAAGTCATGTTCTCTCATGTAAACTCTTATAAACTTCTCTAAGGTGGAAGGAACAAGCTCTGGGGCCAACACTTTATCGAACATTCGAAACACTATGGTGGTTGTATTCTCCTGGATGCCAGAAGAAAGACTGCGTGAATGCAAACTCTAGCCATATGAGGACACAATAAACAAAATGATTCTCTTGAGACTGGGCTTTTACCTTCTCAAAATCAGAGAGGGTCAATCTGCAGTTGTATTTCCTGTGCAATGTGATCAGCTCTTGCAAGTTATTTACCAAAGTCCTTAACTGGCATACTTCCTCTGTGTTTTGATAATCCTTCTAAAACAAAAGTGTTAAGGTTGTTTAGGATATGAGACCAAATGGTCAACAATTACTTTAAAACAAAGATGAGAAGGTTAGGGGTCAGGGAAACTAGAATAATGGAAATGAAACAACCAAAATGGAGATAACAAGAATGCTCACGCATTGTGCAGAATGAAACTAATGTCACTGAACAATTCGTACAGAAATTGTTGAATGGGAACCTAAACTGCTGTTAAACCTTCACCGAAAACAATAAAATATTCATAAAATTTTTGAAAAAGTAGACTTGATTGATAATAGCCTTCAAAAACTAATCTCAACGCATTATTAAGTCTTACTCTTTTAGAGGACTTCTGAAGCACTGCTAATGCAGAAAATACTAGTTATGCTACTTAGAAGTACGTTTACATATTTGCTCTTGGCTGCCTCAATGGAAAAATGCAGTGCAGTAAAATGGCTTAAGTTGTAACAGAAATAGCAGAAATGAAAAGAGAACATTTTCCTTTTTGTTGATTTGAAAAGTATACAATAAAAGAACATAAAAGCAGAAAATTTAAGAAATGGGCATATTTCCAGAAATTTTTCTCTATCTACACGTAGACAAATCCTTTAACATAAATTGAATGTTTCGTTACTAAAAATTCATTCCCCATATCATACCAAGGAAATCCAATGCCAAGAGGAGGTCAATCCTAGCTCATTTGGTTTTTCTGCTGTAAAAAATACCTCTGCTAGTTGAAGTCCATTTTCTGGCCAGTTTGCCTTTAAAAAAAAATTAGAGATCATTAAAAACAATGTTTTATGCTATTGGGAGTGTGCAAACTGTCTTTTCAGTGTGAATTATACTGATACTACCTTATCAGTTAATTCAAGGTTCCTGGCTGCTTGCTCCAACCATTTTGCAAGAATTTGCTGAAACACAAACAGCATTTGAAAATAAAATACTCAATAGATAATTACTGAAATAATTACAAACCTCAATAATAATCTTTCAAAATAGACCCTTAAAAGAATTAACTGATGTTAATGTGACTTAATCTTCTGGGATATAAAGTAAAAAAATAAAATTAAATCATGAAGAGTAGAAATACTCAAAGCAACTCACCTGTCCTTCAGGTACAGTCTTTTGCACAAATGGAATCACGTCATTTTTAAACCATGGACAAAGGTTTTGCAAAGAGACTGGAGTAGAAATTGAGTTGAGCAAACTCTCAAGCATTTTCACATCAAACTTGCTTTCAAAGTTGGCCTAAATTATATAGTGTGAGAAATTAAGATTTATCCAACAGATTTAAATTAAGTGACAGCCTTTCTAAAGGGAAAGATCTATTAGGAAGTAATTTCAAGAAATATGTTACTGATTTAGTAATGAGCTCTATATACAAGTGATTCAAGAAGGGAGATACAAATTCTGTAATTTTCATAATGGCCATAATCTCATAACCAACAAGTCATTGCCATCAAGTCTATTTGGACTCATAGTGACCTTATGGGAAAGAGTAGAACTACCCTATAGGGTTTCCAAGGAGCAGGTGGATTCGAACTGCTAACATTTTGGTTAGCAGCAGTGGCTCTTAACCACTATGCCACCAGGGCTCCAACCCCAGGCAGCAAGTGGCAAATAATAAATTATGCAACAGAGGAGCTGGCAAAAATGCCATTCTAAGGAAAACTTAACTGGAGGTGATAGTATAAATCCTCACACACAATGCCTCCATTAATGGCATCACAACAAGATATGACTTTTGGGGCCTAATGTTATATGCTAAGACCAGCCAACATTAAGACGATTTAGGTCGGCAATCCTTGACCACAGTCTGAGCTGCAATAGAAACAACCTCCTCACTGATAATATATTAGAAAGCCCAACAATACATCACTTAGTAAAATGTTGCCTTTTGAGCAAAGTTGAGGTTTTAATTAGGCCCTTAATGAAGAGTTAAAATAAGATACTACTGTATCTTTATAATACTTCTTCTGATTTACTATCATCAAAGGACAATTTTCTCTGGGAAAGGTCATATTTATCAAGCGATCTGAAATGAGTCCATTATCCAATCACACTTGTCACCACCTGTTTGTTGGTGTCAACACTGATTCAATCACCTATAAAGCCATTAAGAAAAAAAATGCAAAACGCATTACCCGATGTCTGAGCCAAAGGTATTGTGCACAAACTAGGTTTCCTTCTCTTAGTTGTAAAAAAATATCTTTCAGGTCATCTTCATTTTTCAGAAATTCAATCCAAGAACTACCGCTGTGAGGTTCAATAGAGGAAAACAGTGGTTTAAAAAAAACTAAGGTTATGTCTTACAAGGAGTATCAAGATGCCTTTTAACAAGTTCTTTTTTTTTTTTTTTTTTACTTAGAAAGTTAAAAAGCAAAACAAATAGTTCCAAAGAGGACATAGTAAAAAGTGTCTTTCTTCTCCAAACACATAAACCAAAAAAACCCACTGCCATCAAGTCAATTCCAACTCATACCAACCATACACGACAGAGCAGAACGGCCCCATGGGGTTTCCAAGGCTGTAATCTTTACAGAAGTAGACTGCTACATCTTTCTCCCGCGGAGCCACTGGTGGGTATGAATTGCTGACCTTTCAGTTAGCAGCTGTGCACTTAACCACTGTGCCATCAGGGCTCAGTTCCAGACCCATAAGGCTCCAGTAAGGAGCCCTGTGGTGGCACAGCGGTTAAGTGTTCAGCTACTAACCAAAAAGTCGGCGGTTCAAACCCACTGACCACTCTGCGGGAGAAAGATGTTTCCGTAAAAATCGTAGCTTTGGAAACCATATAGGGCAGTTCTACTCTGTCCTACAGGGTCACTATGAGTTGGAAACGACCTGATGGGCAACGGGTCAGGACTCTAATCTCTTCTTGCAAGTCCTTCTGAGCTAATCACTACATATACAAGCAACTTTTTTAAATAAATGAGAGTGTTCTATGTAATTGTTTTGTACTTCAATAAAAATTAATTTTTTATTATCCTGATGCTTGCACAAATCAGCACATATGAACAACACTGTTTTTAGGGACTCGTATCCCATGTGGAGTATAATCAATGGCATGGATTTACTATAATTTATTTAACTAGTTTCCCCTAGCTCATTTCCAATCTTTTCCTATAACCAATAATGCTGCAAGAAGCATTCGGTCCTGATTACAGTTCAGAAATAGATGATGTATATGTCCTTAACATGATTCAAAACAAAACAAAACCCCTAAAAACCTGTATCATGATTAAATGATAATAGAAAAGAAGCACTTCTGCTAAAGTCAGGAACAAGAGAAGAAATACAAGAAAATTTACTTATAATCTTAAGAGTGGGCAATATCTTTTGAAACAAACATAAAAAATAAAAATTTCTGAAGGCAGGAGGGGACAGGAAAGCTGGTGATAGGGAACCCCGGGTTGAGTAAGGACAGTGTTGACATGTCATGGGGTTGTTAACCATTGTCATAGGACGATATGTGTACTGTTTAACGAGAAACTATTTTGTTCTGTAAACCTTCATCTAAAGTACAAAAAAAAAAAAAGAATTATCTATATGAGATCAAATTGACAATAGCAACTCAAAAGTTTTGATGGTAAGCCTAGGGATAGTGAGTTGAAGACAATGGTGATGGAATAACTTGGAAAAGGATAGTGAGAACAGCAGCACAACTAGAAGAACATAATCGATGTCACTGAATTGTACATGTAAAAATTTTTGAAATGGTGTATCTTTGGTTATGTATATTTTCACCGAAAAAAAAATAAATAAATAAAAGGTCCTCCGAGGTCGAGAAGGGAGAGTGTTGACATGGTGGGGTTGTTAACCAATGGCATAAAACAATATGTGTACTGACTGTTTAATGAGAAATTATTTGTTCTGTAAACCTTCGCCTAAAGTACAATAAAAAAAAAAGTAAATGTCTCAATCAAAATTAAGAATCAAAAATCAAAGTAATGCAGTTCTATATTTTCATACTACCTTTTTCCACGTAACAGATTTGCAAAAAACCAAAAATATTATAGTGTTGGTGAGTAAGTGAGAAAATAAGCACCCTCCTACGCTGTCCCTGGGAATGGATACACTTGGAAAACAAATTTAAATGCATGTATCATTTACCATAGCAATTTTACTTCCAGAAATTGATCCTATAGGTATATTCACAAGTGCACAAAATAAGGTCATTACTTACAAATATGAAATAGAATTATCTTAAAGATAGGACAAGTCTATTTATCAGGATGAATTAACAGCAAAGGAAAGTGAACCACTAGAAGATACGGTGGGAGTAAAACTATGAGCAAAGGCAGCAGATTTTTGTAATACAAATGACAGCTAGCAGAGTTAGCCAATAATTGGGCAGAAAAGATAATGTTTTCCATTATTCAACCCCCTAGAAACAAATTCAAAGGAATCCTCTATCCTTTATGTTATTCAAAACTTAAATCTAATTCATAATCTAATCATTAAAAATGAGAAATGTACAAACCTGAATTTTTCTGGTCCAAATGCTCCATAAAAAGTAGTCAGCTTTGCATGAGCCTTTAGTACCTAACAGAACAAAACAAAAATGTTATAATCCCAATGTTGTGTGCAACAACAGTAACACAAAAAATATAAAAAATGAGGCATTCTGTTTCAGAAGTTTTGCAGAAAATCTCATTTTATCCCTTATTTCAGGTCAACTCTCATAAACATGACTGTCTTTATTTAACACAAAACAGCAAAAAAACTTAGAATAATGAAAGCATTTCCAGTCACATTCAATGTAATAAAACTGCAAAAGAGAGGAATGCATTTGCTCATTCTATCTAGGTGTCCTTCAAAATCAATCCATTTCCCCATTGAATTATAAATGTCCTTCTGGCAAAACTTACACCATTTACTTTGAGATAAAAATGAAAAAAATATATGTGCACACACAGGTATTTTTGGCACCAACGAAATTATCATCACAGTTTATATTTATTTGAAGCTTAGCTGGTGCCAAGCACTATACAAAATGGTTTTGGGAATTATTTTATTTGACCTCAAAACGATCCTAAAAGTACTATTATAATTCCCATATTGCAGGCAAAGAAAGTTAAGTATTAAGATGACAACTTGCTCTTGGAAAAATACAGACCTATCTTGAATGGAAAAAAAACATATTATGAAGGTACGAAAAAACCAAATCCATTACCATCGAGTTGATTCCAACTCATAGCGACCCTATAGGACAGAGTAGAACTGCCCCATAAGGCTTCCAACGTTGTAATCTTTAGGGAGCCGACTACCACATCTTTCTCCCATAGAGTGGCTGGTGGATTCGAACCATCAACTTTTTGGTCAGCAGCCAATCACTTAACCACTGCACCACTAAGGCTCCTTGTGAAGGTACATTCATCCCGAATTAACCTATAAATATAATGTAATTACCTCTTTTAAGCCATCAGAACAGGCAAGAACAGTTTTATCTTCTTTCTTCAAAAGCTAAGATGAATAGTACAAAATATAGTTAGAATGTTTTTCATAAAAGGACATGGATTTTCTGTGAATTTTCCTTTATGAAAAAAAGAATCTTAAAAAATGAAATTGCATTTAAATCTGAAATAAACAGTGAACAATAAAGAAATGACAGTTTTTTTTTTAATGCATTTCATGAAAACAGCCTGTCACATTTTGTCCAGTTCAGCCCTACCTTGACTTTAAGGACTAGAACTAGCAATGGTACTCAGAGGTCATTAGAAGGGAACACTGTACAGCAAAAATGGCATTATTTGCATATGTATGTTAAACAAAGTCTATGATGGAAAAAGAAATAACTTTTTGGAAACGATTTTGTTTGCATTAGACAAACTAACATTTACAAACATTATAAACGCTTACCCTGGTTTTGGCATAATTTAGCATTTCCTGGGTTGTTTCATAGGTTATCCACTGAGCCTTCAAGCAGTAGTTCACCACAAATTCATCATCCTGTTTCACAAATGCCAGACACGGTAAGGCACCGGAATGCTGATCACATCAATCTGAATACTATGTGACAGAGAAAGCATACCTGGATTTTATGTAGATTTTCTTTAGCTTCATCTACAAGTGTTTGCCATTCAGTCTGCCCACTGATGTCCACAGAACTCAAAGCTAGTTTCTCCAGTATATCATTTGATTTTACCTTGTAAACAAGCTGTAATATAAATGCACCAAATCAAGCAACTTAAAACACAATGAAATCTGAAGATGACTGCTTAGTTTTATATAGCGTGATAGAAACTATTATACAAAAGGGTCAATTCTCAGGTAGTCCAGGAATAAGTTTTTTAAGACTGTAATAACTAGATAAATGAAAGATAATCTGGTTGTTTAAGAGTTACAGAAACATTTCTATTGAGTCAAGCAATATACTAATTGCTTTATATAACTTATTAAAATAGTAACCATTACATCTCATCATAAACCTCTAGGGTAAGTACCAATACTCCCATTTTACAAATGAGAAAATGGGCACTCAAGAGATGTTAAAGAATGTGTCTGAAATTATGCAGTCCAAGAGAGATGGAGCTGGTTTTTAAAAGATGACCACACAATTACGTTTCATGTTTAATTTCTTAACACTACCAAAGGTTCTTTCAAAAAACAAAACCAAATCTGTTGCTGTTGCGTGGATTCCAACTCACAGAGACCCTACAGGACAGAGCAGAACTGCCTCATAGGAGTTCCAAGTCTATAAATCTTTACAGAAGCAGACTGCCATATCTTTCTCCCACCGAGCGGCTGCTGGATTCGAACTGCCAATCTTTCGGTTAGCAGCCAAGTGCTTTGACCACTGAGCCAAAAGGGCTCTTTAAAGATTCTTTAGTGGCTAAAACCACCATGAGTTAGAAATACCCAAAATTACACGTTCCTCTTCCTATGGATAAAATACCAACTTTGACATGGGTTTTCTGGTTTTGAAAACTAAAATTTTAAGAATAGTTTCTCTCCTGTTTCTCCATTCTCTGTCATCTCTTTCACTAGACTTCTGATTTTTCTCTTCTATTCACTGTTTTTAAATGTTAGTTATTATGAAATCTTTCAGATGTCCACATAATGTAACAAATTCTCACATACTCATCCAATAATTTAAGCAATACAGCATATTACCAACATAGTTTAAGCCCCCTTTATCCTCTTCCCAAATACATCATCCTCCTTTTACCAACCAGTATTTATTGCTTCTCATTCCATTAATTTCTTTACTCCTTTACTCATACGCGTTTCTAAATACATAGAATTACTTTACATATCTTAAAACTTTATATTTTTAAATTTAGGATATATTCACCACACATTTAGGATATATTCTTCAATCAACTACAGTCAGGCTTTCTGCTCATTGCCTCCCATGAAACTGTCTTTTCAGGAGTTATCAGTGACCTCCTTATTGCCAAATCCAACAGACATCTTTCAGTTTCTATACTTGATCCTCTCTATAGTATTTGAAACTGCTGATCACCCCCCACTTAACAGTTTCTCCTTCCTTAGCTTCTGTAATCACACGTTTTTGTGGTTTTCCTCCCTACCGTATTTTTATGGCTCGTCAGACTTTGTCTACATGTGGACATCCCCTAGAGCTTGTTCTCAGTTCTCTGCTTACTCTGCACATTGCCCCTTACTGGTCTGAGCCATCGCCCTGGTCTCCTCTACCTCTAGATTCAGCTCAAAAAGAGCCCCGGCGGCACAAAGGTTAAGTGCTTGGCTGCTAACTGAAAGGCTGGTGGTTGGAACCCATGCAGCGGCTCTGTGGGAGAAAGACTTGGCGATCTGCTCCCTAAAGATAACAGTCTAGAAGATTACAGCCTAGAAAACTTCATGGGGCAGTTCTACTGTGTTACATGGGATCACAATTAGTCGAAAATTGACTCGACGGCACCTAACAATAACAGATGCAGTTCGGATCACTCTCCAATTTCCTACCAGACATCCCCTCATTTTACCACAGATCCCTCACGTGGAATTCGTATAAAGCAGAACTCATCATCTATCCCCCCAACCTAGTCTCCAGCACATTCCTTATTTTAGATAATGCCATCATCGTCCAATTAGTCAAGTCCTCTCCGTCCCCCCAGTGACATCTGATCACCAAACCCCACTGATTCCACCTCCTATGTGCCGCTCTTCTGAGGCCCTCTCTTGTACCTCTCCACCTCGTTGCACTAGTTCAGGTCTCTCACAGAAAGCTGCTTAGTTTTCCAATTGATCTTCACACCTCTAGGCTGGGCCTTTTCCAAACAATTGTCCACCTTTCTAAAATGACAATGTAATCAAAGATACCCCTTTGCTTACAACTTTCAGTAACTCCCCATTACCTGCAGAATAAAATCTGGATCCATTGTGATTGTGGGGCTAATTAACTTCAGGAAGGGAGGGGACTTATGCGGTCATGCATATTCATTGATTGAATCAATCATAACCCAAGTCATGCATATTCATTGAGGTTCCAATGACTAGGAGACTCTGGAGAGGGAGCACATCCCTGGGGACAATGGAGGTCCCGTGCCAGGACCTCTCCCAGGCTTACCCTCATGCGTCTCTTTGCTTGCATCCTTTCTGGTTATAATAAATGTGTAATTGTAAGTATAGGTCAAAGTCTCCATGAATTTTGTGAGCTGTTAGAGAGGATTAACAAACCCACGTGGGCAATGAGCCAGCAGGGGCTGGCAGTAGAGTCGATTTGTGTAGACCCAGCTCTTGGTGGCTGGGTGATAGAGAAAGGCTACATGGGCAGACGATGAAGGATAAAGTCCTTCTAGCTTGTGCCTAGTCCCAGAGGATTAGAGAGAAAAATAGAGAGAGAGGGAGGTCAGTTGGTCTGAAGTGCAGAGAGCTGTGCAGACTCCTGAGCCTACTGTTACTCCCTAATAATCTGGCCTCAGGAGGTCAGGGATGTTTTGATCTGGCTCAGGAGAGCCAAGGATGAGGTCTGACTCAACTCTGGTGGTTAGGGTCAGATACAGCAGAACTGCAATAGAAGCGGCTAGCGATGAGGTATAAAGATGTGGGAAGGCCTGGATCCATTTCTAGCTGGGTAGTGGATTCATACTGATCCTTGCCACACAGTTAGTGATAAAGGTGGGGTTTGCCCACCTTGTCCTTTTTACAGTGCAGTTGGTACCATTGTCCACACAGTGATGCATACAAGCCTGTTCCCTACTTCTCCATCATCATCTCCTTCTGCTCCTCTGCCCATATAACCTACCATGGAGCCCTGGTGGTGCAGTGGTTAAAAGCTCAGCTGCTAACCAAAGGGTTGGCAGTTCAAATCCACCAGTCACTCCTTGGAAACCCTATGGGGCAGTTCTACTGTGTCCTATAGGGTTCACTATGAGTCAGAATTGACTTGACAGCAACGGGTTTGGTTTTGGTTTGGTAGTCCTATCTACTCACTTGGAGTTCCTAGTCCCTGACTATTCATGGCATTCTTATACCTAGAATTCTCTTTGTCTCCCCGCCCTACCTGGAACGTCTTCAAGACCTGACATAAAGTTTTCTCCTTAATGAAGTCTTTCCTTCCCACTACAGATTGCTCTCTCCTTTGAATTCCTGCTATATATTTTTGGTATATATTAATTACAGGCTCTATCACACTAAATTCCAATTGTGATACACAGGGCTGTCTCCCCATCCTCTAGTACACAATGAAATGTTTGTTCAGTGAAGGAATGGATACCATGAATGATTACCTCCACATCTAGTCCAAACTGAATGGCAAAGTTCTCGGCTTCAGCAAATCTGTGTTTGTGGAGTAACCGGCTCAGTCTGATAAATCGGAAAAGACATTTCAAGGAAATGTTTAGTAATTTAAGTTTTTCACTAAGGGTAAAGGCTTAAAAGAAAAGAAGAAGTTACCTGTTTTCTGGTAAAGCTTCCGTAAGACATCGAAGTACTAAGACAGAGGCTGAGTCTTCAGATAGTCTGAAAAAATTTTTTTTGACTGTAAATGCACTTGTCATTTAATATTAATCAGTAAATTTTAACATAGCTGTTATTTAACAACTTATCTGGTAAAAAAAAAAGAAAATATGACCTACTTGGGATCAGTTTTGCAAATTCCCTCCAGAAGGTATATGGTATCCTACAATAGTAGCAAAAACATAATTAAAGTTCAAAAATAAAAGTAATGCATTTTATAATTATTAGAGTAACAACTGGTACAGGCAAAAAGTATCCATCAATGGATTCTAAAAAACTGGAAAAAAACCTGTTGAGGGTAAAGGATATTCCCATAGTTTCAAAATATCACCATATAGATTACCTACCAACTACAAAGGTGAAAACGTACATTTGCAATGGAGAAATCTGGCAGAACTGCGTTCACCAAGTGATCAGATGTAACATCACCAACAGCAGGACAAATGGCCACCACAGGCCCCTTCATATGGTGTACTTAGGAAACACCATTACCTATGCAGTATTCTTTTAAAAAAAACTTAACGTGAATCTAATTAGGATGAAACAATCTGATAAATCCAAACTAGAGGGACGTTCGACGAAACAAATGGCTTAAACTCTTGAAAAATGTCAATGTCTTAAAACACAAAAAAAGATGAACTTTCCTAGGTTAATGTAGACTACAGTGACACGAAGGAACCCTGGTAGCGCAATCGTCGAATGCTCAGCTGCTAACCGAAAGGTCTGCGGTTTGAACCCACAAGCGGCTCTACAGCAGAAAAGATTTGGCAATCTGTTCCTGTAAAGATTACAGCCTAGGAAACCCTAACGGGCAGTTCCATTCTGTCACATACGGTCACTGAGTTGGAATTGACAGGATGGCACACAATAACAACAGTGACGTGACAACTAAATGCAATATGATCCTTGATTGGATCCTGGATCAGGAAAAAAAACAGCTTTAAAGTAACTAGGACAAATGGTAAAAGGTGACTATGGATGATATATTTCCTAATCCATTGCTGTCGAGTATATTCTGACTCATAGTGACCCTACAGGACAGAGCAGAACTGCCCCATAGGGTTTCCAAGGAGCAGCTGCTGGATTCAAACAACCAACCTTTTGGTTAGCAGCCAAGCTCTTAACCACTGCACCGCCAGGGTTCTGCATATTTCATAGTAGTTATGCATTAACATTAAATTTTCTGAGTGTGATACCACCAAAACCAAATCTATGCCATCATGTTGATTCTAACTCACAGTGACCCTACAGGACAGAGTAGAACTGCCCTATAGGGTTTCCAAGGCTATAATCTTTAAAGAAGTAGACTGCCACATCTTTCTCCCACGAAGCAGCTGGTGGGTTGGAACTGCCAACCTTTCAGTTAGCAGCCAAGTGCTTAACCACTGTGCCACCAGGGCTCCTTCTGAGTGTGATGACTACTGTAAAAGAATGTTCTTATCCTTAGAGATACCTACTGAAGTATTCAGGGGTGACACGTCATGATGTCTGCAAGTAATTCTTAAAGGGATCAGAAAAATAAGTCTGTGTGTATAAAAAAAGATGAAGCGAATGTAGCAAAACTTTTTTTTAAAATATCAGAATTAAAACATAAATAAAACAATGCCTCCCAAGTTAATTTTTAATCTATAATTCCAATAGACACACCCCCATTGCCGTCGAGTCGATAGCCACCCTATAGGATAGAGGAGAACTGTCCCATAAGGTTTCCAAGGAGCGGCTGGTGGATTTGAACTGCCAGCGTTCTGGTCAGCAGCCCAATGCTTAACAACTGTGCCACCAGGGCTCCAGCAGAGACACAAAGAACTTGAATAAGCAGATGACTGATATTTCATGTAATCAATTTCCTTTCTTTTTTAATGTGAAGAATGACCTTGTATCTGAGGACTTTTCTGAGAATGATAAAGACAGTTTTAAACCTGAACTCTATCCAGGTATTCCACTAGGTTCTATTCATGCTTAGCCTAGGTAATGTTTTTTATTATAATGTATTTTTAAAACCTGTGTAAACTTACTGTGCTAATTCCAGTTTGAACCAGTGAAGAAACACTAGATACTTCCAAAGAATACAGTATCTCCATTGTAGGTAATGTATAAACTGCAAGATTTTTCATCTAAGAAAAACAGTAGAGCAGTTAATTCAGTACATCAATATAAACCCATCAGCACCAAATAGCACTTCACCATCAGGGGCAGAGATTTGTACTTGGGACAAAATTTAATGCAAAAATCATTTTATAATATAAATCTGTTACTGTGTGACATAAATGTTGCAGGTAAAATTATGTCTATCCTACCTTCCAAAATTGTTGAATGAAAACCACATACCCAAAGTCCACTGTACAATTTCTATTCAAGGTGAGTGTTAATCCCTAGTGCTAGAACTATATTGACTCTAAAGAACTTCTTTTTGATTCTTGAAATGCTCTGCTTAAAATGTGGAGCTGAGCATAGGGATCAAAGTTTATTAGTGGTTACCAGGACAGATGTGGCGGAGAAATGGGGAGTTATTGCTTCAGGGGTCCTGAGTTTCTTTTAACAGTGATGAAAAAAATGTAGAAATAAATTGTGCTGATGTTTGCAAAATACGGTGATCATAATGTCACTGAATAGTACACGTAGAAATGGTTAAAACAACAAATGTCTCAGTATATATTTTACCACAATAAAATTTAAAAACTAAATTTCAAATGTAGAACTGAGATTTACATGCATTTTTTTAAAGACAGAATAGTCCTTTCTCATTTGTCAAGCATCTGAGTGAACATAGCGCTAAAATGCTGTGAGCATTACATAATATCTACCTCTGAATTAGTTAATGCTATTCTCTAAAACATAATATGGACAAACATACAATAAAAATTTCTTATACCTTCTTATTAGTAGTAGCTGTCAGAGCTACTAGTTTGAGATTTGTGATCCCTTGCCTAAAAGACAAAAGAGGCTTCAAGTAAATCAAATAATCTTTGCCAATGGCTAAATATAAGTTAAGTCAATGTGATATTCTTGCATAAACATTAAAACTGGTTTACATAGAAGACATCAGATTCTATTTCTGCACGTTTATGGCTCAGACTGACACTCAGTTTCTAACATAATTCTTGGCAGTTCACACTGCCACATTCTCAATGAATCTGACAAACAATTACTCGGTCGTGACTCTGTCAGAATGTTCAGTGTTATTTAGAACTCAATACGTAGTGAATGATATGGACACAACCAGACAGGAAACCTGGTTGTAACAGAAGTTAGGACTAGTGTCATAATGTACCACGTGACTGACGAGGGAGACTCTGCTTCCGTAGTAAGGAGAAACTCTTCCATGTGAAGAGAGGGCCAGTTCCACACAGGAGTTAGAGTGTAGATATCCCATAAGCTTAGCACATTCTGCAAAAGAGACACACATCTCATTCATAGATCTTCTTAATGTTTAAAACATTTACATCTCAGGATATATTTTTTTTGATCTGTATACTGAAATGAAGCCCAGTACATTAAGATAGTAATCCACCCCCCCACCAAAGTCCTTGTCTTTATAAATGTGACCACGTTTTTGTTGTGAACTATAATAATCAAATGAAAACATTTAAGGAGAAATACCATAAACATACTTGTGTATCAAGAACAAAAAGTAGGTTGTCTATGAGCTGGAACTTCTTTGCACCTACAAAAGAGAAAACAACACGTCCAAGGACTACATTTCACTGTTATATGTAGCCATCTTTCAATAGTAAACTGACAAATTAATGGAAAGGCGGAACTACAGACAAAAAGTTCCTACTGTCAAAAAAAAAAAGTTCACATTCTCATTTATTTCTACCTCTATTTTGTTGTGGTTTTTTTTTTTTTAGGTGATCACTAAAATGTAAAATCCAACCATACACACTGCTGTTCAGTCGATTCTGACTCTTAGCAACCCTATAGGACAGAGTAGAACTGCCCGATAGGGTTTAAAAGGCTATAACCTTTTTGGAAGCCCACTGACACATCTTTCTCCCACAGAGCAATGGGAGGGCTCGAACCACCAACTTTTTGGTTGGCAGCTGAGCGCTTTAACTGCTGCACCACCAGGGCATCTACTAAAATGTAAAACCTCCCAAAATGAAGAGTAACAACTGCAACGTGTCAAGATTGGTCACCTATGTGGACAATTATCAACCTCATCTGTCTTGTTTCAGAGTGAGACAGGAAAACGGCTCATGCCAGATTCAGTCATTGACATGAAAATTAAAACTCACTAATAATGATCAAAGTTTCATTAATTTTTTATTATCTAAAAATTACATATATATATATAAGTGATATATACAATTATATAAGGAACTGTGGTGGCGCAGTGGTTAAGGGCTCAGCTGCTAACTGAAACATCAGCAGTTCAAACCCACCAGCAGCTCCATGGGGGAAAGATGTGGTTGTCTGCTTGTGTAAAGACTGACAGCCTTGGAAACTCTACGGACAAGTTCTACTCTCTCCTATAGAGTCACCTATGAGTTGGAATCAATTTGATGGCAACAGGTTATACATAATAGGTCACGTATATGTATAATAAACGTTACATAAAATAAAGATTACCTTTAATAATCTCTGAATCAATAATATTCTTAACAACCATTCCTTTCTTGGAAGAATCTGGTGCCCATTTTGTGAATGCACAATTACCAGTTCCCTAGAAAAGTGAAAATAGTACACCAATTACAAATTCAGTTCTTAGACCAGAACCTTCCCCAAAGTAAAAACACCAGAGTTGTGTACAATATTAATTTCAAAACCTCATTATATATTCATGTCCAACAAGGTTTTATATTCCATTTCCTCTCTTGGTGTGTTTTCAACAGAAAAGAATGGAAAGAACATTGAACTGCTGTTATTGGCTATAAAATGAATATTTAATGGTAGGCATTTCAGGCTATTCACCAGAAAGACACGGGGGGTGGACGCTAAGACCTCTTCCAGTATTATGATGTAAGTGTAGTCTCTGATTGTTAAATATGTTCATAAAAACAGCCACAAACATTTGAAAAGCATTTTCTAAATATTAATTTTAAATTATTAAACAAGATACATACAATGTGGAAATGTGAATACTCCTTAATATATAATGTCAATTTGGCTAGTAAAACTGTTTTATCTGCTATAATTATATTGAATTTCTGCCTGCTCCACCTTGAATATAATATTAGATGTTTTCTCCCCAAATTCAAAGAAATTATGACCACAGTAATCAGAAATGACATATACATGGTAAAATGCTACCTTTCATGTATCTATCATTAAGGAGCCCTGGTGGCAGAAGGTTAAGTGCTTGGCTGCTAACCAAAAAGGTCAGTGGTTCAAGCCCACCAGCTGCTCCACAGAATAAAGACCTGGCAATCTGCTCCCATAAAGATTAAAACCCAAAAAAAAGCAAACTCACTGCCATCGAGTTGATTCGAACTCATAGTGACTCTATAAGACAGAGTAGAATTGCCCCATAGGGTTTCCAAGGCTGTAAATCTTTACGGAAGCAGACTGCCACATCCTTCTCCTGCAGAGGGGCTGGTGGGTTCAAACCACCAACTGTTTGGTAAGCAGCTGAGTGCTTCAACTACTACACCAGCCTAAGAAATCCTACGGAGCAGTCCTACTCTGTCACACACATTGCTATGAGTTAGAATCGACTCGATGGCAGCTGGCAACAACAACATCACGAACATCATACAAGGAGGTATACGTTTTGAGTTTTCTCTCCAGTGATGGTAAATTGTGCTTCTCTATATTCTTGCCCAGGTTTCTATTTTACTAACACACATATCTGCAAGTAGCTTAGCTAGCCAAACTAGCTAAGAATAATGTGGAATCACTCAACATGCAGGGACTAAAGCAAAGATTTTGGCTCATTGGGATCATCCTTGATCTAGAAGTTCTTAACCTGGTGTATTTCAAGAATTCAGGAAATCTGTGTACTCGAACAGGGAAAAAATTACATACTAAACTCTATCCGAAATTTACCATTACTTTCAATTATGACGACAGGCCACAAAAACAAACAAAAAACCGCAGTAGAATTAGCGGTACCCATGACTTTATAACTATGTACTATAATTTTAAACTAGTGAGGAGTGTAAACAGTATTTTGAGACAACTGCAATAATCTGGCTTTTTAAAAAAATCCGTGACTTCTGTTGCTAACAAAGCTACAGGTACTGCTAATTACATTGTTTTTATATTCCTTTCTTTTTTTGCCTACCTTCATAGTTGAATGAAATGTTAAATTTCAGATAGTATTTATGGAAAACAAAGATGTATCTTTTTTTCTGAAATAGAAACTTAGGTTTACTTATGGAATTAATTTTATATGGGCTTAATTTTACAATTTCCCTGATTTTGTGACATGTTACAAATTAATTTGCAGCTTAACCCCAACTGCAATGTTTTACTGAGGAAACACTCTGGCTACAAAAAACAAAATTTTATAAAAAGAATTACCCCAATTATCACAGGGATTTCACTTGCTAAATCGCCGACAACAAGATTAAGACAACCAAGAGTATGATGATTTTCAGTTGATATAAAAGTGGACTTGATTTGTCCTTGTAACTGCAAAATTAAAAAAAACAAAAATATTATACATATATATTTTATGCTCTACAGTCCAAATAACTTGAAGAGATCGACAAAAATTAGTTTTAATCAATCAGTTACACATGTATTCTTAAATGGAAATGTTACTAAAATGTATCATGATAACTCCTAAAATAAGAACCAGTAGATCTATTATATCCAGAATCACTCTCCAAAATTTATATGAAAAGTTAAATTTAAACACGGTTTTATTTCCTTACCTTTTTTGCTGTATTGAAGTCTACACTCTCAATTGCTGCATTAAAAAAAAAAAAAAGCAAGCGAAATTTAGAGGGCTAATCTACAAAATACATAGAAGTCAGCCCTTCTGTATCCAGAAGAGGAAACTATATACAATCTAGTGAAAAGAACACTGGTCAGAATTTAATGAAGCAGTGCTGACTTTCCAGTTTTGCTCTTGGCCAATGACACAAATGGTGACTGCATTTCCTATTCTAGGCACCAGCCAGCCTGCCTGAGTGTCCTGAGTGCCTCTCGGTATCTTTCCTTAGCACATTTCTTCCTACTAAGAGGGTCTTCTCCCGGCTGTCCAACTCTCCCACTCCTATTCAAGCTCTAAAGGCGTGTTCTGAAAAGTCTTCAGTGCCTGTCACTCTGTCATGGAATAGCTCTTTTATTTGTCTAGCTCCTTCACTGAATTATGGAGAGCCATATAGATTAGAAATGCTGGTGGCATAGTGGTTAAGAGCTACGGCTGCTAACCAAGAGGTCGGCAGTTCGAATCCACCAGGCACTCCTTGGAAACCCTATGGGGCAGTTCTACTCTGTCCTCTAGGGTCGCTATGAGTTGGAATTGACTCAACAGCAACAGGTTTGGGGTTTTTTTTAATGTAGTTTAAAGGAGCCCTGGTAGCGGAGTAGTTAAGCACTCGGCTGCCAACCTAAAGGTTGGCAGTTAGAACCCACCAGCCCCTCCTTGGGAGAAAGATGTGGCACTGTGCTTCCATAAAGATTTACAGCCCTAGAAACCCTATAGGTCAGTTCTGCTCTGTCCTTTAGGGTCACTGTGAGTTGGAATTGACTCGACAGTAACGGGTTTGACTTTTTTTTTTTTTTGATGTGGTGTCAATAGCTAACATGTTTGGCTGCTAACCAAAAGGATGGAGTATCAGTCCACCCAGAGGTGCCTCAGAAGAAAAGCCTATGAATCTACTTCCTAAAAATCAGCCATTGAGAAATCTGTGGAGCACAGTTCTACTCTGACACATGTGCAGTCTCCATGAATTGGAGCCAGCTGGACTGCAACTGGTTTTTTGTAACGTATCTTACTCCTTGTCATATCTCCAGGACTCAGCACAGGCTTGGCACATAGTAGACGCTTTAAAAGTGTTTGCTGAAATATTTATTGATTGCTTACTCTGTGCCAGGCACTGTGCCCAGGGCTGGCCAGGGGGATAAAGAACACAGACTCAGGTGAACAGGGAAGACACACTGAACAGGCGTGATGAGTACCACAAAGGAGGAAGGAGGATGCTCCGGAGGAACTCCATAAAAGAGCATGGGCCGAATCTAGCAGGGGGACCAAAGCCTACTCCGTAACTAGACTGCAAGCTTTCCTGAGGGTGTAGATTGTCCTTCTATCTCACACTCTGAAACGATGCATCTAATTCTGTGCTCTCGACTTTTTTTAAGCAGAAGAATCCTTTCTTCAAACAAAAGCTGACCTGGAAGCCCAACCAATAAAGCAGGAAAAAGGCAAACAACTTTCCTTTTGGTTGAAGTGGAGGTGGAAGCCCTGGGTCCCACCTGATGAGGTCTTCTCCCAGCCCTCTGCCCCTTCTCTCATCCTTTGTGATTACTAAGAGGTGCAGCACAGAGCAGTTTCCAAACCACCAATCTTCTGAAGTCACTCCCTCCATTTACAGATGGGAAAATGAGGTCCAAAGAAGTTAGAGAGACTTGCTCATTTCTTTTATATCCCCCAGAACACTTAACACAGGTGCCATAAAGCATGGACATGGCATCAATGTGGATAACTGAGGGGAAGCGTCAGAGTATAGTAAAAAAGAACACGACTTTGTTGTCAGAGGTGCCTAGGTTCATGTACGGTGAAAACTGCGAAGGCTGGAACCTGTGTAAGATGGTAAACTGTCTGACGAGGATAACCAAACATTTTCCACTGATAGACAAGTGGTAAGACTGCACCTGTCAAAGGCGGAAAACTTGCAAGACCTGGAAAAACAAGGCAGTCAAGTTCTGGCTCTCAGTTTTCACTGTACTAAATGTGCCATTTGATAAATATGCTTCCTTAGGCATTTCACTTAACCTCTCTAGGCCTCAGTTACCTCATCTGTAAAATGGAAAGACCAATACGTCCTTCATCGGATTTTCATGAGGATAAAATGTGTTTAAAGAAATAATAAAATATAGCTCAGAGAGACATATTATTCATACCACTCATTCAGAACATCTTGTAGATTATTGCTCTACATTAGTAACACTTAATCGTTTCAGCTTTTAGGTTCATTTATTCTAGCAAAAACCACTTACTATTGTGCTACTGTATACATTTCTTGATGGCCATAACCCCAAATCCATCGCCACTGAATCGATTTCAACTCAGGGCAACCCTGCAAGACACAGAACTGCCCCATAGGGTTTCTAATACTGTAATCTTTACAAAAGCAGACTGCCATATATTTCTCCCACAGACTGGCTGGTGAGTTCGAACTGCTGACCTTTTGGTTAACAGCCAAGCACTTAATCACCAAGCCACCAGGGCTCCCTTGATGGCTATAAACAAATTTTATTTCATCAGATTTTGTTACAGCATTAACAGTGGAAAATCCGTATACTCTGAGTACTCAAAAGTACACTCGGTATCACAGAATACAATTAAACTAAAATAATACTTGTAAAGAGAATATGTAAAAATTTACCTGGCAAAACAGTATGAAATATTCCTACAAATCAATAGGAAAATAATGCATTAATTACCTTGCTGAATTTTTACGAGCTGAAGGTTTGTAATGTAAAAGAATCCTTTGTTTGTAAGGAGCAACATATAATAGGTACCTATTGAAATAAAATCAAAATCAGTGTCTCTAAAAAGGAACATAGATATAAAATTTAATATCCTGAACTGACTCAAAATATGTCACTTAGTTCACTGAAATTCTAATCATCAAATATTAACTAAATAGATAAGCTTTATTTACAAAGAAAATGGTAAGGTACTTGTCAAAAATAATGTCAACTTCTTTCAAGCTTTTATAAAAAAAACAAACTTCACTTGCCAGATACAACAAAATAAAGGAAAGGCCAGTCAACTTTTGTTGAAATCAAAATATAAGTACAATGAAACATACAAAAACCTCTTAAAGAACATAATGTCTCTTGGTAATTTACGGAACTTTCAAAACTGTTAAAATGTGTTTAGAATATTACATTTGAATTTCTACACATTTAAGCTTAGGAAAAGAGCTAAAATGAAAAATTTGTTATGTACCGTGGCAATATTTATAGCATCAGTAGAAAATGTCGGTTATCTATAGGTAGCATAACAATATACAATGTATTGTTAACCAGAAATTTGATTATTTTTTTGGTTGGGTATTAGTCAGAAATTACCATTTGAGTGAAAACTGACCTTCATTTGAACCATCTTTCTCAATAACAAGACTCCGGTAAGTACACTCATTTTCATCATTAGCCTTCTGAACAAAAGCCTAGTTGCAAATAAATTTTAAAGGATAAGGTTAAACCCAGAAAAATACAAGCAAAGATTATATTCTTTAAACCCTACGGTCATCAATTACCATTAGCAATAATTCTGCCTCTATAGCAAAGAGATTTGTTTTAAAATGGAAAAATATTTTAGATAAGCACACTCAGAATATTTCCAAAGATTAATTTTTCATTTTCGTGCTCATTAAATAAATGTTTCTGAGGTGTCATTTTTAATTTAATGCAAACAAGCATTCTTCCAAAAAGTAATAGTTTGCTAGGAGTCTGAGAGATTATTTAGAACTTAGATAACGAAAATGAAAAATAAAACAAAGCCTTACATTAGTGAGTAATGTTTGCTTTGATGTTACATGAATAAGATGCAAGTTGCCATTTCTCTCACCAACCAAAAGAAACTTTCCTTCTTGACAGAGGCCAGCCACATCCACTTCAGTATCTGAAAATTACAAATCAAAGTTACAGGCTTCCTTCAAAAATGTTTATTGTTATTATCCAAAAAAATCAAATGTGGTCATTAAGAGTCAACCTCTTAAGCGTCTGAATATTTCAAAAAAGTTGTGGTGAAAGTAAAAAAGAATACTACTGATTTATTTACTGAGCTCTTAGTACATGCCAAGTGCTCCTCTAGGCCTTATGGGTATAGCTTGGAATCACAAGATTCCCACCCTCGAGGAGCTCAAATTCTAAAGCAAAAGTGCATGATAAACAACTAGCATAACAAGTAAGTAAATGATCTGGCATGTAAGAAGGTGATGCTATGAAAAAAAAGAAAAAGTAGAGCAAGGTAAGAGACCAAATGAGCCGCGCAGGACACAGTAGTAAACAGTGGTCATCAGGGGTGGATTAACCAGTAAGCAAGGTACCCATGGGCTTCATTGTGTTTGCTTACTAATCTGCAGTGCAGTGAAAAACAGGAGAAATTGTTCACTAGATTAGTAAGTACGCACAAGTAAGCCTGCGTGTACCTTGCTTATTCGCTAATCTACCCGTTGGTCACGATGGGTCTCATTGAGAAGGTGAAATATGAAGGAAGAGTTGACGGAGGTGAGGAAGTTAGGCAAATGGAGACTGGGGGAAGAGCATTCCTGGCAGAACAAGGACCCCAAAGCAGAGCATGCCTGATGTGTTTGTGGAAGAGCCAGAAGGCCACCACAAAAACCACTTGCCATCAAGTCAGTTCTGACTCATGGTGACCCCATGTGTGTCAGAGTAGAACTCTGCTCCACAGAGTTTTCAATGGCTGTGCGCTTTTGGAAGTGCTTTATCCTTTGCACCACCCAAGGACTCAGCAAGGCAAGAGGGGCTGAAATGGAGGCAGAGAGGGGAAGGGTGGGAGATAAAAGCCAATATTATGTGAATGGTTTGTGAACTAAAATTATTCGACAGCAGTATCTTTACATAAATCTGTAATAGGTTAACACAGCCCATTATTTCATTGGTGAAATTCTGAATCTTGTAGACCGATCAGGCTAGATACATTAGGATTCTACAAAACTTTAGTTTCCAGCCCTCCTGTTGCAATCAAAATTGTGTTCTCAAATGTATTTCGGTTGTCTAAATTCTTACGAAAATATTTCAACAACTATTTTTTCCTCAAAATGTCTTCTCAAGATCCAGAAAAAACTTTCATATTTTCCCCATTTTCTAACACAATCACTGACTTATTCCTTAATTCACTTATAAGTACATATTTGCTTGTAGTAAAAGTCGTTTAACTCAAAGAATTAATTCAAAAGTATTTCAATGGCTATGTCAGTGGTATACACTACCGTTGTTGTGTCGAGTCAATTCAGACTCATAGCGACTCCAAGAGACAGAGTAAAACTGCTCCATGGGGTTTCCTAGGCTGTAATCTTTATGGGAACAGATCAGCAGGTCTTTCCTCCCACAGACTGGCTGGCGAGCTCAAACCACTGACCTTTTAGTTAGCAGCCAAGAGCTTAACCATTGCACTGCCAGGGCTCCTTGGTCATTGTTGTTGGTTGCCGTCAAGTTGATTATAACTCACGGCGACCCCACATGGGCAGAGAAGAACTGCTCCATAGGGTTTTCAAGGCTGTGAGCTGTTGGAAGCAGATCGCCAGGCCTGTCTTCCAAGGTGCCTCTAGGTGGGTTTGAACCACCAACCTTACAGTCAGTAGCCTAGCGCTTAACCGTTTGTGCCACCCAGGGATGGTATACCCTCTAAAAGTATTTAAATGTTTGTTGATGATACTGAAATCACATACAAGATTCAGGTACTTCAGTACCATGTTGGCTCAGCTATTTGTACAATATTCTAACACAAACTTTAAACGATGCAAGTAAACTAACTTGTTGCTTTACATGTATGTTTCCCCTTAGAATTATTGAGAGAAGGTATCATCTCAGCATCCTTTGAATCTAGTGTCTAAAACATAATAGGCACTCAAGATTAATTTCTTGAAATTAGTCTAATTTTGATTCTTAGAAATAATGGAGTAAAGAAAAGGCAATGAGATGGAAACTGATAGTTCATTAGCAAGATATATTTGACTTCCAACTTATGGGATTTCATTACATCAGACTTACCAAACATTAGATGCAACTGAAGCGATCTACAGATGCTGTCAAGCAGAATCACTGACTGGTCTGCTATAATAATAAACCCATCACTTAAACTGTATGCTTGTATCTTTGGGTTTAACGAGGCCTGTGGCAGAGGAAAGCAATGATTTAAATTTAAATTTAAAATCAAAACATTTTTATACAAGTGTAATAATACTTATGAATAGTATCTTCACAATTCCAAGCACCCAAGTTTAAAAGTGCACTCAACCAGCTAACAAACACATGAAGAGATGCTCCTGATCATTAGCAATAGAGAGATGCAAATCAAAACTACAATGAGATACATACCATCTAACCCCTGCAAAAATGGCACTGATCAAAAAAACAGAAAACAAATGCTGGTGAGGTTGTGAGGCGATTGGGACTCTTAAACACCGCTGGTGGGATTGTAAAATGATACAACCACTTTGGAAAACGGTATGACGCTTCCCTCAAAAAGCAAGAAAAACAAATGTCACATGATCCAGCAATTCCACTCCTAAGTATATATCCTAGAGAAAAATGAGCGCTGACAAGAATAGATAAATGCACATTTACTACCAGGGCATTATTCAGAATTATTCAGCATAATTGCAGCATTATCCAGGATAGCAAAAAGATGGAAACAACCTAAGTGTCCATCAACAGATGAATGGATACACAATTTGTGGTATATACATACAATAGAAAACTAAGCAACCATAAAGAATAATCATGACTCCAGGAAACACAATACAGATGAATCTGGAGGACATTGTGCTGAATGAAATAAGTCAATCACCAAAGGACAAATATCGTATGATACCACTTTTATAAAAAGTCAAGAATCAAGAACAGGTTTACACACAGAAAGCAACATTCTTTGATGGTTACCAGGGATGGGAGGGGAGGGAGGGAGAATCACTTACTAGACAGTAGGCGTGTTAATTCTGGTGAAGGGAACGGCAATACACAACATGCGGGAAGTCAGCACAATGTGACCAAGGTAAATAAAGACAGTGAGAGGTACGCAAGAATAAAGGACAACCATGGTAAATGCTATAACATATACAATTCTGCAACAACGGTAATAACAACCAAAAATTTGGGACTGATTACATAAGTAGATATGTATGCTATCTAGGTGTGGGAGGGCATATGGGAGTACATGTCTGGGCATATATAGGTATCACCCATTGCCATCAAGTTGATTCCGACTCATAGTGACCCTATAGGACAGAGTAGAACTGCCCCATAGGGTTTCCAAGGAGCAGCTGATGGATTCGAACTACTGACCTGTTGGTTAGCAGCCAAGCTCTTAACCACTGCGCCACCAGGGCTCTATATATAGGTATAACTAGGAGAATTTATATATATGTATACATATTTGTATGTGCTGCATATATATCCATACGTGCACTAGAGCACATAGGGGGCACACTTATAGAAACTTCTTAGACATATCCAAACATCTCATGGGACAGATTCTAGGCTTGACAGCTAAGGACCATACTCTTGGGGGACATCTAGGTCAATTGGTATAACATCGTTCATAAAGATAATGTTGTACATCCTAGTCTGGTGAGTAGCATCTGGGATCTTAAAAGCTTGCAAACGGCCATCTAAGATACAACTATTGGTCTCTTCCCATCTGGAGCAAAGGAGAGTAAAGGAAACCAAAGACTCAAGGAATCAATCAGTCCACAGGACTAACAGCCCAAACAAACCACAGCCTCTTATAGCCTGAGATGGGAAGGACTAGATGGTGCCCAGCTACCACTATTGACTGCTGTGACTAGGGACACAATAGAAGGTCCCAGTTAGAATGAGAGAAAAATGTAGACCAAAACTCAAATTCATAAAGACCAGACTTACTAGACCGATAGAGACTGGAGGAACCCCCAGGACTATTGCCCTAAAACACCCTTTTAACCTGGAACTTAAGCCACTCCCGAAGGTCACCTTTCAGCCAAATAATAGACTGGCCTACAAAAACAAACAATAACACCTGTGAGGAATGTGCTCCTTAGAACAATCAACTATACGAGACCCAACAGGAAACACTGGCCCAAAAGCAAAGATGAGAAGGCAAAGAGGGGCACGGAAACTGGAGGGATGGAAACAGGGAAAGCAGAGTGGAAATGGGGAGAGTGCTGACATATTGCAGGGATAGCAACCAATGTCAAGGAACAATTTATGTATAAGTTAATGAACGGTGTCTTAGTCATCTGGTACTGCTCCAAAAGAAATACCACAAGTGGATGGCTTTTAACAAAGAGAAATGTATTATCTCACAGTCTAGTAGGCTACAAGTCCAAATGCAAGGCATCAGTTCCATGGGAAGGCTCTCTCCCTCTCTCTGTCATATCTGAAGGAAGGTCCTTGTGATGCATCAGTCTTCCCTTGCTCTGGGAGCATCTCAGGGCAGGAATCTCAGGTCCAAAGGATGCACTCTGCTCCCGGCACTGCTTTCTTGATCGTAGGAGTTCCCCAACTCTCTGCTCGCTTCCCTTTCCTTTTACCTCTTGAGAGATTAAAGGTGGTGAAGGTCACACCCAGGGAAACTCCCTTTATATTGGATCAGGGATGTGACCTGGGTAAGGCTGGTGTTATAATCTCACCTTAATCCTATTTAACATAAAATTACAATCACAAAATGGAGGACAACCACATAATACCAGGAATCATGGCTTAGCAAAATTGATACACACATTTTTGAGGGGACGTAATTCAACCCATGATAAATGAGAGATAGTCCACGGTGGCTAAGAAAGGGCAAATGGTTCCCATGTATAAACCTGTGTTTTCTAAGTGCTGGTCTTATGGCCGTAGGAGCCAGGCATTAATCTAAAGGAAGGAAGCAAGACTGGCATAGAGACTCAGTGTCTGGAATACAACAGGGAGGGGGCCAGTGGTGAACCGTAAACTGGAGGGTACAGGGTATAAACTAGAGAGCAGAATCTACCAAACACCAGCCAGATTAAAGCCTCATGGAAATGCAACTATGGCCAAAGTGTCCTGTTTATCAAGAAAAGCTGGGTCTTTCTGTGAAATGTTCTAATTTTTAAAACACTGGCAGCTAAGTCAACATTTTTGAAAAAACACTATGCACACCAAATAGGAGCTTCCAGTTTTTAGCTTCTGTTGTGACTGACTTATTTCACTCAGCATAATGTTGTCAAGGTTCATCTATGTTGCAACACATATCAGGACTTCATTTCTCTTTATGGCACAGTAATACTCCATTCTATGTACCATCCTGTCTTTTTATAGACACATCCGAAATGCCTCAAAGAAAGCTATGAAGAGTTAAGCTTTAGAAATATTGAATCTAAGATGACGCAGGGAGAATTCATATGGAAGTTTCCAGCAATCTGACACTGAATCTGGACCCTCTGACAAAGTGCTATATTCATTCACAAACATTTAATGTGTGGTTAACAGGCCAACTAAACACTCAGCACAATTGTGTGGATGAAAACTGTTGGCGTCAGAATGGTTACCTTCTCGGAGGAGATCTTCGCTAGCAGATCTACTTGGTATAAAGCAGTTCCATGTTCTTTTCTTGAGCCAACACTTAGGTACCCACTTCCTGTGTCATCATTTGTTAACAGCTCAATATCATTCCACATGTTTTTGAGATTGTCCTCCTGAGTCAGGAACAACTGCTTTCCCTGCGACAGCATGCAAAATCCGAGAGTAAATTATCTTGTTGTACAGCATCCACTTCCTTGAGAAATGAAAAAGCTAACGCAAAAAAAAAAAAAAAGCTAATAAAAGTATTAACAACAAAGACTTCTTTGTCTTCATGTTATTTCAGTGGTCACTACAAACTTTGGACCAATAAGATAAATGGAACTAGAGCTATGATTATCACCAGAGAACAACATATTGGCTTAGGCATGCAAACAAACAATAGTGATCTTCCCAATGTACCCCAGGGCTTCTAGTACTTTGCCTAACTTGAAATTATACCAAGCATTTCTTTAAAATAAACCTTTAATCAGCATAGCAATACAGAGCACAGGCTCTGAAGTCAGACTGTCAAGGATATCTTAGGGTTGCAAGATTCCAGATGAACTTTAAAAAAAAATACATTAATGTTTCCACAGTATTGTCATACAATAAATTAAAACAAAGGGAGGAAGAAAAAACTCCATTAGGTTTCTGACTGGCCAAGCAGTACATACACTTGTAACCTTTGGAAAGTCACTTAACCATTTAATCTGTACAGATTTATGTAACTCATTATCTGCTGTCTGGGTGGGAATACTAAAATGAAAAACAATCTCTGGATCAAATCTGGGTTACCCTGGGTGGTGCAAATGGTTAAGCACTCGACTACTAACCCAAAGGCTGAGGGTTGGAATCCTCCCAAAAGCACCTCAGAAGAAAGGCCTGGCAATCTGCTTCCCAAAGGTGACGGCCTTGAAAACCCTATGGAGCACAGTTCTATTCTGCAACACACAGGGTCGCCATAAGTTAGAATTGACTCCACAGCAAGTGGTTTGGTTTTGGATCAAGTCTGGTGGGCAATAATAAACAAATAATTACAATTGTTTTGATAAGTGCTAGCGGAAGTATGAGGAGCCCTGGTGGAGCAATGGTTAAGTGCCCAGTGGACAACACAGCGGCTTCGCAGGTAAAAGACCTGGCAATCCACTCCTGTAAAGATCACAGCCTAAGAAACCCTATGGGGCAGCTCTACTCTGTCCTATAGGGTTGCTTTAAGTGAGAATCGACTCAACGGCACACAACAATAGCAGAAGGATGTATGTTGAAAACCTACGGAGATACAATATCGTTCAGGGAAGAAATGATTTTTGACTTAGTGCTTTCACGTTCACTAGCCAGTTGTCCTTCAGCAAATAACTTAAACTTTTTGTTCCTCAGTTCTCTAATTTATAGGAATAAAACTGTACCTCCTTGAAAAGGTTATGAGCTTTAAATGTTTACACCTAGAACCACACTTGGTTCAAGGTAAGCACTCAATTTAAGCGTCAGCTAATTTATTACTGTTACTGGTAGAGGCAGGTAACAATTTAGGTTGGGAATTTCAGGCCGTAGGACCTTTTAAAAAGAGGAAAAGAGTTCTTTTTAAGAGAAGAGAATAAGCAAGAGTACAGACACAAAACATGTTGGAGAATACAGAATAGTTTTAAGTGGCTGGTGTTTGGGTGGGAGTTGGGAGGAAATTCAGACAGGAGGGACACGCTAGAGTTAATACTTTTCTGGGTCTCAGTTTGCCACATTTATATAATACAGAAATATTATTACCAGCTCCCAGGGCTTCCATATGTATTCACCCAGCAGATGTTTATTCAGTGCCTACTATATGCCAGGCGCTGTTCTAGGAGCTGGGGAATACAGCTGTGAAAAAGGCAGAAAAAGTCCTTGCCGTTATTAAGTTTATATTCTTGCGGGAAGGTCAGACAAAAATAAAACAGTAGTTCACACGTATTAAGTAGTCTCTTGCAGGCCAGACACAGTTTTGAACGCTTTACTCATTTAATCTTCACAACAACCCATTTTACAGCTGAGGAAAAAGAGCCAGGGATTAAATAAAAGGCCAAGGTCACCCGCAGCTCTTAACAACTGTCACGTCTTCCCCACGAAAAACCAAGTCAATGCACAAATACAGTGCTCACATGGAGGGAAGGAAAGGCGGGCGCTTAAGGACATGTATTTGGGAAAAGGAGGTGACATTGAGCAGAGACCTGAATGACGACAAGCCAGCCATGCAAAGCTCATGGGGAACAGATATGCAGGCACAGGAAACCGAGTGCAAAGGCTTGCAGGCTGGAGGGAGTTTGACGCGGTGCGCGAGCCATAGCAGAGTGGAAGACAGCGTAGAAGAGATGGGTGGGGCCAAATGAAGCGGCAGATTCAAGATTGGGTTTTATTCTGCGCAAAGTGGGTGACAGGATTTGATTAGCGTTTTCAGAACACTTTGGCTGCTGCATGGAGATTAACGAATATGAGATAATAAACGAGATTTTAAAAAGTGTCAGTTAGGCCTCCACTCATAAACGCTCCCAGCTGGACACCAACCTCTCCCGCCAACGTCTTGAGGGAAAATCACCCCGAACTGAGCTGCGGCCGCTAATACTTCGAGCTGAACTCACACACCCCCAGCTCCCTACAGTAGTGCGGCTTACCCTTCTCACCTGCAATTGAAGACATTAAAGAGGAACAGTCAAAATATTCCGCCCCTCTTCCCGACTCACACAACCGCCATAATCTTAGGCTCCATCCCACGGGTTTAAATTGGCGGGAAAACGCCAAGCCCAACCCCTTACGGCGGCCGGAGGAAGCCAAGATTGTTTTAGAATCGAAACAGGAAGTTGATCACCTTAAATTGCACCCGTTCCGACCCTAACACTGCGCGTTCTAGGGTATATTCTTGGCCCTGCCCTCTCCTCTGGCCTTGCACGCCCTCTTCGAAAGAACAACCAATCACCGCCTCGATCAGCGTTACTATAGAAACCTTTGTCTCCACCCCTTTCCCCCCCAGCATGCTCTGCGACTGGTGGGGCCTCATCGCCTTTGTGCCATCCGGGTCTCTCGCGCGAGCGATTTAGTCAGTCTGCGGAGAAGCTTCTGGGGGGCCGGTACAGTTGAAAGCGGCAAATTGAGGTGCCGCCTTAGCGGCCGGGACTCTAGACTATGGCGGTAGGTGCTGAATCTGAATTTCAGACCAGGGATATTTTTGTGCTACTGTCCAAGGAGTGGGTGAACGGTACCCAGAGCGGTTGTCTGCGCGTGTGTGTGGACAAAATGGCGCCGCGGCCTTCTTCTGTGCCTGCCGTCATGGCTGCTTGCTGTCGGGAGGGGGAAGTAAGGCGGTGCCGATGGGGGTGGGGAACCGCAGGGAGTGTCTTTTTTTTCTAGAACTTTCCTCGTCCTTTTCGGCTAACAGACTTGCCTCCAATTTCGCGAACTCATCCGGGCTAGAGGTTTATACAGATTTCTCAGGCACTGGGAATTTATGATATTCGTGGTGGAAAAGGGACTGGGGAAGAGAAGAAAGAGATCAGGGATCGTCTCTGAAAAATATTGGGTCAAAGAGGGATACAATGTGAGAACAGCAGCCTTGTAGAGGTTTTTTTGCCTGCGTTCAATGAGATTATTCTAGTTGCATAATTTTGATTGGTTTTCCATTTGTAAACCTTAGTTTATTTATTAATAAGGAGTTGGGGGGAGGTATTGTTGAAAGGGAGTAAAAATTATACTACTTAGGTTTTGAAACTAGGAATTCTGATGGTTCGGTTTCGGAAGAGAGTCGTCATGTAATCAGATTTTGAAGTTTTTGAGAAACATGTAATCAAGTCCTGCCACTGGCGTTGTTTCTTTAATTTTAAGAGCACTTCGTTGATCCAAATCAGAATTACAGTTCTTAAATTACCTCTTCTGAACAATAAGCCTGCCTTGTGTATCATGTTCCTGATCTGATAGGTTGTTGCCTGGTTGTGTGATTACTTAATTTTTACTTATCCTCTTAAAAATATAAGCGTTTTGTATTCTCTCCATTGACCAAAAAATTCCATCTTCTCATTTTCGAAAATAAATTGGAACGTTGACAGTAAAGAAAATTTTAAAGTTTACTTTTTGTGATAGCAACATCTGGGCTTCGAAATGGTCTGATAGCTTTCTGATTTCACTTTAATGTTTCCTTTAAGTTGTGTTTTAGGCCTTTTAATCTACTTTGAAGAATAGTTTTACTTGTGCTCAAATATTTTAAACAGGGAGATCAATTCAAATGTTTGTTTTTGTTTCTGCAGTACCTTCACTAAAAAGACGTGATCCCTTGGAGAAATGACCTAGTCTTGAATGCTTACCTTCTTTCCCAGGAAAAAGATTAGTATATTTTGTCTTGATGGGCATCTTTAGGGTTTTCAACACGATGTAAATTTTAAGAAACAAAAGTGGCTTTCTGTTAGAGCAAATACTAGACAGTTTTGCAGTTAGCAGTTAAGATCTGTCTATAAATCCTTACTAAATTGAAGTAAAGCCACACTCAGAAATTTTAAAGGAAAACTTTAATACTCAGTTGATATATTTTCTGGATACTTGCACTGTGCTATCAGCCATAATCTGCTTAGATAAGATTTTGACCGTTACGTGTAAATTTCTAGCCTGTTTTTCCTATTATTTGCAAGCATGTAGTTAAACGATTGACAGAAAACTTTTAAGGTCTGCGCTAAGCTCTGGCTCTTCCATGGAAAGTTGATTTTCAATTCTAATCGTGCTTGTGCTCTGTAGAAGTGTGCCAGTGATTCAGGAATTCAGTCTCTTTGAAAAGTGGCATGCACTGAGAGAGGTGATGGCACTGCTGAAAGTTTTTGAGTTGGCTTTTATTTTACCAAGTAAAAGATGTACTCACACTTAGACATCATAGATGTGTCTGAAGTAGTCCTTACGGCTTATGATAAGAACAAGAATAAAAGGTAAAAATACCTGATGTTAGTTATGAGAATCAAAATTGCTCTTAATTGTGTGATACAGCATCGTTTATTAATATTAGACACAACAAAGAAATGAAGATACAGTATAAGCTTACATAAACCAGTTAATGTTGGATCTTATCTGTAAAATGAAAAAGTTTAATCTCAGTGATTCTAAGGGACTGAAAACCTTTCAGCTTAAAAATTCTTGTTTCCAGAAATCACCTATACTTAGAAAACTGGAGAAGTATGAATACACATGGGACAGCTCCCCAGTTGCTCTGTTTCTTAATGCATTTTTTGTACCATTGTTGGAGGCTTAACACACAATTAATGTATTTCTCCCCAACTAATCTCTAAATCCTTCCCTTTTAATTTATTGTTCCTAGAGGCTAGCATGGGTTGTGGCACATTCTTTGACCCTCAGTGAATAGTTGTTGAATTAATGCAACCTCTCACACCTCATTTGTTAAAATATACTCTGTTTAATTTACTTGATACTAGTATTTCTGACTAATCTTCCTAAGGGAGGGGTAAGTTCGATATCAATGTGATTCCTCTTGCGGAGGAATGTATAGTGATTCCGTGTTTATCCAAACCAGATTCTGTTACTTCTGATGTCCTAAGTCAGAAGTCCGTAAACTTTCTGTGAAGGGCCAGATAGTTAATAATTTAGGCCTTATAGTCCACAAAGTCTGTCCCATTATTTGCTTGCTTGCTTGCTTGTTTTTAACAGCCCTTTTGAAGAAAGGTAAAAAGCCTTTTTACCTGAAGGGCTCTACAGAAATAGTAATTTACAAACCCATCCTAAGTAATCAGCTCCCCCCACCTTCCATGTACTACTGCAACTGTTTCCCCTGTCTTTTATCAAAATCTAACTCACGAGACCTTTGAGGTTCTAGTCTCTCCATGAGGCTTGGAGCTTTTTGTATGACTCCAGCCTAAATCAGTTTCTCCATTTATGGTACTCCTGTTTGTAATTTAGACCACATAGTTCAGCAGAGCCACAGAGATCCGTTTTTAATGAAGAATAATAACTGGAATTCTTCAAACATTTGGTTGATTTCTGTGCTGTATACTATGTTAAGAGGAAAAAAAAAACCATTGCTGTTGAGTCAATTCCAACTCATAGCAACTGACAGAGTAGAACTGCCTCCATAGGGTTTGTAAGGAGGAGCTGGTGGATTTGAACTGCCAACCTTTTGGTTAGTTAGCAGTGTGGTTCTCAACCATTGCACCACCAGGGCTCCATGTTAGGAGCAAGGATGATTACCTTGCCTTCTGTGAACTGGAAAACAAAGAACTAATATTTAGATGAAGGAACTTAGTCTTAGGTAAGTTAAGTCTCCGGGAAAAGTGTTCTATTTTTTTAAATGTTTAAAGCAAAAACAGTATTTCCAGAGCTCAGAGCATATGTGAGGAGAGGCAGGCCATATTTTGCAGCAGCACTGTGCCAAGGGGGCTGTTTTCATTGAAGAAGGTTAATGAATTTAAGATAGGTTCTCAAATAGGTAATTTAATGTTCACTCTCTTAGAATATTCTAGAAGCATTATCCTCCACTTTTAAGATCTTGCATACTTAAGTCTTTTAACCCTAACAGCTCATTAAAAATGTCTTTTTAATGTATGCTACTTCAAGATAAAGGAATTGTTTTGTCAAGTTAGCTAAAAGAATTTTTTAAAAAAGACTATTTTCTCTTTTTGGATGTTTATTGGAAATACTTAGAGCCTTATCCTCCTCTCCCAAACATCGTAAAAGTTATTTTTAAAAATTATGATTAAAAACTTAAACAGTCTGAGTATGTATGTTTCTCTTTGGTATCAAGTTAGTCATTTGAAATCATTTGGGTCTAATTTCAGTGTAGAAATCTTATTTAGCGATTTGGAATTAGCCATTCTAATTTCTTTTTTTTTTTTTTTTTTTTTAACTCAAAGATGACTGTCTTCCCACCTTCTCTTTTAAGAAGTTGGAAACATTGTAAATACATAAGAATTTTAATCATTTTCCTCTTAAACTTTTAGGCTAGTGATACAGAACGAGATGGGCTAGCCCCAGAAAAGATGTCCCCAGATAGAGACAAGAAAAAAGAGCAGTCAGATGTCTCTGTTTCTCCTAGAGCCTCAAAGCATCATTATTCAAGGTCACGATCGAGGTCAAGAGAAAGAAAACGAAAGTCAGGTATGAAATGATGGAAATGTGATAATTACTATCATTTCATATATATGTATTTTTTAAAGTTATGTCTCTAATTTATTGAAATCATTTACATGTATAATAATATTTTTAAATATATATTCTAGATAGTGTTGTATTATTCTGAATTTAATATTCTGTAGAGTAAGCTACTATTTTTGTACAAGAACATTTTTTAAAATTGTTTTTCTTTTTAGCTTAATATTAGAGTATTTCTGAAGCAAGAGGTTTGGAGTTTCAAAATGCTCCACGTTCACTTTAAAGAAAAGAGAATGGAACAGGACTGATAAGCGGTGTAGAAAATGTGACTGCTGTGCTCTTTAAAAAAAAAATGGCATTGTTACTGAATGAAGAAGTTAAGTGAGAAGTACAATAGTATTTAACTTCAAAGTTGTAATTTTCTCTTACATGGGGTATTTCAGTTTTTATTTTTCTGAATTATTTATTTCTAGTAAGCCCCTTGTTGAATTTGTGACGAACTAGGAGACAAGATAGGCTGGTTAGAATGTTTTGTAAAGTGTTACAAATCTGTGACTCCCTAAAAACAATGTTGATTCCTCAGGGAACTTTTTTGCTTACTTCCTGCTCTTTCCTGGATTGTTCAGATAGCTGCTTTATTTCACATAGTATCGGAAAATACTCCAACCCCGCCATCCAAAAAGTCATTGGACGATGACCAGTAGAGGCTGTAGTTAGCTAAATGAAGTGGAAATTGTTCCTTATAGAAGTATTGGAATTTGTTTGCTAAGGTGAGATGTTCCTTTATCTTTGCTTATAGTGAATTTTTTTGTGTATTTACAGAAAATGAAGGAAGAAAACACAGGAGCCGGAGCAGAAGCAAAGAGGTAATTAATACTTTGTAGTGAATAGGTGCTTTAAAATACTTGTAAAGTATCTGGTAGAAATGTTTGTGTGCATATATGGTATTGTCAAGGTAAGTACCAAAACTTGAAATTTAAAAGGTTAATTGGGTTATAAAATAAGCATGATTCATCATTTTTTCAAGAAGATAGTTGTTTGTATGAAAAGTACATTCAGAAACTATTAATTTTATTATGCTGTGAAAATAGTCACAATAAAATTTTCATATGAAGAATATAATTGGTTTTTTAGGCCTGTCACAGAGCTTCCATTAATCTGAGGTCCCAAGTCTTCTCGTGCCTGCCCTCTGCTCAGGAATTTTAGATAACCATCATCTTTAAGTAGCAGTACCCTAGATATCTGTGGGCACTTTTTCTTTATGGAAGATAATGAGGGTCCTCTTTTCTTTAGTAAACTATTTTGATTTCCCGGATAGTGAGGGACAGCTAAAAAGGTGATGGTAACAACAAAACTTGAGGACAAAAAAAAAAGGCATCAGCTGCATTGCAGAGGAGATAACTTGCCCACTCACCTGAGAAGATGAGAAACAACAAGGAAGAGCAAAAGTAGTCAAAAAGGGAGGAGAAGAGTTATGGGGGCTGGGCAAGGGACTCCTAAAACCAATGCGGGCAGGAAGTTCCTCTTCCCCTAATGGAAGCTCTGTTAAATTTTTAATTTAGGAGAGTTTTTGTGAAAATGACTATTTTGTTTAGCTCACATGATAACATTTCTATAATAAATCATACTCAGCGTGCTAATGCGCGAAGAGACTGAACTGAAGACGCTGCAGACTCAGATAGCAAAATAATAAGCCTACTTCATGATAAGGTAACTATTAGTCATTCAAACTCCTATTTCCCTTAAATATATCTTAAATCAGTTAAGGGTTTTAATAATGTTTTTGGTGTTTTTGTTTTTTTAATGATCAATAGTAATGTTATGTTTGGAAAACTGGTTTGAAATAAACTCTAAAACGTTTGGAAGTTAACCACTTAATGCCTTTCCAGTTTGCCATTTTATTCTGGAAAGTCAAGACGCTTTTTATAAGATCATGTTACAGAGAATTGGCAGTGAAACTAAAATTTAGCTATGTCTCCAGGTCTCTTGTTTTTCTGCAAAATAGTTACTTACTATGATCATTTTCAGAATATCATCGTGCATGTTCCAAAATGATTGGCCAGATTATTTTTGTTTTTAAGAACAGTTCATCTTGAGTGGAAAGGAACATGCTGTGGCCTATTTTGGGAAACTTGAAATAAGTGTCCTCGGTTACGGTGAAAAGCAGTGGTATAGGAATCACAACAACATAGGGCCTCGGTCCAGCTTCACTGGAAGCTTTGTGAAGTTAGATCTTAGTAAAATTATATGTAAAATAAGGAAGTTGAGTTAGGGTTTGAGTTTCCTTCCACCTTTAAAATTCAGTTATTAGGATGTCCAGGATTTAAACTTTAGCTACAAACTCAATTAGACAAATCTTCAAGTGGGGAAATCTAATATTTAGCACTTCCTACACGGTCACCATGAGTCTGAATCGACTCAGTGGTAATTGCTTTTTTTTATTTGAGTGGTAAGGTGGAGACTTCATCACACAGTTTGTTTTAGCTGAGTCTCTGAATGCATATTGTTATGAAAGTTTTGGTTATTAGTCTTTCAGAGTATGGGGAGGTATGTATCGTATGATGGCAGGCTGATTGTTAAACCTAGTTTGAAAACAGTTTCAGTTACCGTTTTCTCTACCCTAGGTACCTGAGCCAAAATAGAACTCCAAACCTGTTGGGATAGTGCAAGATGGAAAGTGATTGCTTCAGTTTAGATATTGGGAGAAAATCAAGAGCTCTTTTAGAGAGGATGTGGCAGTATAGCTATAAAAGGGACATCGCAACTCTGCGCAAAGTAATTTGAAACTGCAGAAAATATTAATGCTTCGTATGATTAATTTTTACTTAGCTTACTTAATTTGAAATGCGTTTTCTGGTGCATTTCTTTGTGTCCTTATTATCTCCATCCTTTACTTTTGAAACTTAAAAATATATGTACTCTGAATTTAGAAATTGGTGTATCTCTATGGTCTCTTTTCTAAAAGGTTTGTTGGCAAAACTTGAAAGTTTTGAATACACATCTATACTTCCTTGCTCTTTTAGATAAAGGAAACATCAGAATTTTCTCTTTGTCTGACATGGTTTCTCAGTATTATTACAACGTTGAATATTATTCACTGTTTTTATTGTCATATTGAAAATAGTATTTGGGGGAGGAAACTGCATTTGGGGGGTTTATAAAGGAATAAATGAAATTTGTAATGATACGTCTGCAACATTTGGGTGATGTGAAACTAGATCATTTTTTTACTTGAACCACACACTCCTAAGGTTACTAATGTTGCATCACAACATTTTTGTCTTCTGATACCCATACTAACTCTCTTTGTTGCACTATTTTCCTGAAAGAACCAACTTCTTCTTAAAACAGGCAAGAAGACATGAATCCAAAGATAAATCCTCTAAGAAACACAAGTCTGAGGAACATAATGACAAAGAACATTCTTCTGATAAGGGAAGAGAGCGACTTAATTCATCTGAAAATGGTGAGGACAGGCACAAACGCAAAGAAAGGAAGTCATCAAGAGGCAGAAGTCACTCCAGATCTAGATCCCGTGAAAGGTAAGTGATTTGGGTTATTATTTAGTGCCTTCTGCTAACGAGCTGTAAGTTAACAGAAAGCTTTTCATTAACCCAGCAGTACCCAAACCACCCCTGCTGCCGGCAAGTCGATTTTGACTCATAAAAACCCTATAGGGCAGAGTAGAACTGCTTCATAGGGTTTCCAAGGCCGTCGATCTTTACGAAAGCAAATTGCCACATCTTTGTCCCACGGGATGGCTGTTGGGTTTGAACCACTGACCTTTTGGTTGGCAGGCGACTGCTTTAACCACTGTGCCACCGGGACTCCTTTTCCAACAGTACCAAAGCAATCAATTAGGAAATTGATGTTTTTACTTGCTTTGCCCACTAATAGCTGAAGCCTTTTGGGCTTTGCTTTCTGATAACTGCAAAAATGGTTTCCAAGACTGTAGGATAAGGGATAATTATGATTAACACACCCAATTAGTTGCTATAATTCTTTTAATTCTTGATTGATCTGTCTCTTACAGTGAAAAAATGATACATTGTTGAATTACGTTGATTTTGTTTAAGCCAATGTAACAATCCTTTTTCCATGATGTAGTTTGAATGTATTGTAGGAAGAATGACATAGTTAGAATATATCTAATCTAGGTTTTCTCTTGTGGTATAGATAAACAAATTTTTTAAACTGGACCAAGGCTCAAATATGTGGGTTTTTTTGTTTTTTAGGGTTTTTTTTGTTTTTGTTTTTGTTTTTTTAAAGAAGCCGGTGTTTAACATACTTGCGGACTCCGGGGAGTATATATGTGGTATCAGAATCAAAATTTTTCAGTAGTAGAATAACTTGATTAAATATTATCCTTAAGTTTATAAGTACTCTGGTAAATCAAATTTTACGCTGTTAAACAAAATCCTGAGTTGGAGTAGGGCGAGTTAAACATTTTTTACATGTTTATATAGCTTTGCTGTGGTCACTAGGAAGCATCATCAAGCAAGAATGAAAGTTTCCTTTCTTTTAAAAATATCCATTATCCTTTCCATAAGGAGCCCTGATGGTGCAGTGGGTAAGCACTTGGCTGCTAACCTAAAGGTCTGTGGTTCGAACCCACCAGCTGCTCCGAGGGAGAAAGATCTGGCAGTCTGCTTCCGTAAAGATTACAGCCTTGGAAACCCTATGGGGCAGTTCTGCTCTATCCTGAAGGCTCACTGTGAATTAGAATCTGCTTAATTGCATACAATAGTAACAGCGTCATAAACCACAGGCTTATTGGCTGTTTTGATTGTATATAGTACAAATGTGAACTCATGTATAATTGAAAAGAGACAACTCTGAGTAACTACAAACTCTGTGCACTTTAATTTCAGGCGCCATCGTAGTAGAAGCAGGGAGCGGAAGAAGTCTCGGTCCAGAAGCAGAGAGAGAAAGAAATCACGATCCAGAAGCAGGGAGAGGAAACGGCGGGTCAGATCTCGTTCCTGCTCAAGATCAAGACACCGGCATAGGAGTAGAAGCAGAAGTAGGACAAGGAGTAGAAGTCGGTAGGTGCTTGTCATCCGGAGTAAAATTGACGCCATAAAAACTTTTCCTGATTCAGTGGATGACATTTATGGCCTGCTGTGTGCTAGGAATAGACCCCTCCCAGCATCTGTTTATCCTTTGTCAGTCTGAGGATATTAAAATTTGGGAATCAGAATTGCAGTTTTAGACTTATATTTTAATCATATCCTGGCCAATAAAGAATACACTAAATAACTCTGAAGCATTCTCACGTATTTCTTGTTTGGTCATTAAAATTCCTGTGAAGTACAGGTACAAATAGTGCTATTAAAATTACTTCAGTTGTTTTGAACACTTGAATTCATAGCATTAATTTTATAATCACAGTAGCTAGCGTTGGATGCCTACTATGTGCTGTATGTATACATATAATGTTAAAGCTCTTTGCATGTATTAGCTCAGTGAATCCCCATAACATCCCTATTGTTACACAGATCCGTCTGGCTTAGATTAAGTAATTGCCCCAAAGCCCAAAATTATACGGTTATTAAGTGATAGAGCCAGGACTGGATCATACATTTACCTGAATGCAAAGTCCATACATGTACTTAAGCTACTACATAGTGTATTATCTCAGATACTAATTCAAATCTTAATTTGGAGGAGGCTTTACTTCGTTGAGACAGGGTGTACAATAAAGCGCATGTGAGAAAATTTTCCATTACATGTGTTCTTCAGAAATATTTTTATTCTCTTATACTACAATTGTTAATAGTGTATCACAGGTACTTACATATACTACTATTAGAGGTAATAGATGCTTCTTCGGTAATTTATTGTTGCGTAGGTCAAACAGTCTATACAAAGATTAAAATATAGGTAAAAACAGACTTACAATATCTGGTTTTATGATTTAGCACTTATTTGAGTCTTATTAAATGAGTTTATCAGTTTTTAGTTTTTAGTTTTGGTTTATAGTAGTATACTGATTTCAGATTGAGATTAATGAATCTAAAGTAAATGAAGCATTCAATTTTTTATTTTGCTAATGCTTTTGTTTAGTGACAAATACCTTGCGTATTAAGAAAAAATGTCTATAAATTTCATTGTAGATGAAACACTAGGAACATTTGACCTGTCAGTCCCACTTGAGGAAATTTATCCTATATACTTAACTATACAAGTACAAAATGGTTTATGTGCACGGGTAGTCTCCACAACCTTGCTTGTAATATGCTAGAGATTGGAAGCAACCTAAGTATTTACGTATAATGGGGATGGTTAAATAAATTTCCAAAAATATTGGCCATATACAAAAGAAACTTGTCACGCCAGTGGAAAATGTGAAACAGAGGTGAAAGGGAGGGAAATGGCTCAAACTCTTAACTTCTTGTACCATTTTTATTTTGAGTATGTGTCATAAAAATAAATGTAACAGAATATTTGCTGTTGTAACATTTTTACATGTACAATTCAGTGATGTTAATTACATTCATCATGTGAAACCACCACCATGTACCATTTTGATTTCAGAAAGTTAATTCTCGTTACTTGGCCATAATGAGACATGTAAAATACGATTTATTGCAGAGATAGAAAGAAGAGAATTGAGAAACCAAGAAGATTTAGCAGAAGTTTAAGCCGGACTCCTAGTCCACCTCCCTTTAGAGGCAGAAACACAGCAATGGATGCACAAGAAGCTTTAGCTAGGAGGTACGTACAGTTTTTACTTAATGCTACTCAATTTTTTTTGCTAATTCAAAAATAGTTGGAGCAGTACGTCTACAGGGAACTGCCAGAAATTCAAGCTGAATTCAGAAGAGAAAGTGGAACAAGGGATATCATTGCTGATGTCAGACGGATCGTGGCTAAAAACAGAGAATACCGGAAAGATGTTTACCTGTTTTTTATTGACTATGAAAAAGCATTCGACTGTGTGGATCATAACAAATTATGGAAAACATTGCAAAGAGTGGAAATTCCAGTACACTTAATTGTGCTCATGAGGAACCTGTACATAGACCAAGAGGCAGTCATTTGAACAGAACAAGGGGATACTGTGTGGTTTAAAATCAGGAAAGGTGTGTGTCAGTTATATCCTTTTACCATATTTAATCAGTCTATAAGCTGGACTATATGAAGAAGAATGGAGCATCAGGATTGGAGGAAGACTCATTAACATTCTGCAATATGCACACGACACAACCTTGCTTGCTGAAAGTGAAGAGAACTTGAAGCATTTAACGGACGAAGATCAAAGACCACAGCCTTCAGTATGGATTACATCTCAGTGTAAAACAAAAATCCTCACAACTGGACCAATAAGTAACATGATAATGGAGAAAAAATTGAAGTTGTCAATGATTTCATTTTACTTGGATCTGCAGTCAACACCCATGGAAGCAGCAGTCAAGAAATCAAATGACATATAGCGTTAGGCAGATCTGCAAAAGAAAAGCAAACATGTCACCTTGAGGACTAAGATGCCTCTAACTCAAGCCATGATGTTTTCAGTCACCTCTTACGCATGCGGAAACTGGATAGTGAATAAGGAAGACTGAAGAATTGATAACCTTTGAATTATGTTGGTGAAGAGTATCGAATATACCACGAACTGCCAGAAGAACAAACCTGTCTTGGAAGAAGTATATCCAGAATGCTCCTTAATGGCAAAGATGGCGAGGCTTGGTCTCATGGACTTCGGACATGTTATCAGGAGGGACCATTCCCTGCATTCCCTGGAGGACATCATGCTCAGTAAAGTAGAGAGCAAAAAAGAGGAAGACCCTCAACAAGATGGATTGCCACAGTGGCTGCAAGGATGGGCTCTCAAACATAGCAGTGATTGTTGTGTGGATGGCACAGGACTGGGCAGTGTTTCATTCTGTTGTACACAAGGTTGCTATGAGTCGGAACCAGCTTGACAGCACCTAACAACAACATTTTTTCCTTTGCCGTTTGAAGTAGATAAAACTTAAAACATACTAAATGAATTCTTGCAGTCAGAGGATAATACAAATAAACCATTGAATCTAGACCTGAATAAACTGTAACAACTTTGTGACCTAGTGCTAAGTAAGTGGTTTATTGATTCTCATCTTAGACTTCCACTTATTGGCACAACTGGAAAAATTGAGGTGTTAGCAGCAGTTCTGTTTTTCCCTAATGGCTAACTGTTGGTGTTTGTTATTTTTCTCATTTTTTTCTTTTCAAGTAATCTGTAGTCGCAATTATTTTGGTTTTTAATGAAGTTTTTTGTGTCTTAAATTTGATTCAAAGAACTCTTTAATTTTGCCTCTGAAAAAGGCTTTTTTTTTTTTTTGCCTTTATTTTTGTGTTTTTCTCTCAAGAACAGAAAATATTTTCAATAATACTTAGCATTCTGTCACCAGTTTTCTTATTTTGAAGGTGGCAAATATGAAATATACATCATAAGCCAATTTAAATGATCTTGTAAGATTTACTCCTGATAACAAGGAGAACATTGTATTTTTTTTAATTCTCTGATGCTTCAAAGATACATGTTTATGGAACCACACACCAGGGATGTCTAACTGAAATCTGCAAAACTCTGTAAGAACTCCTTCATATGGGGTGGCAAGAAGTAAAATAACAGCCAAGCACTTGTGCAGGCTTTCTCATTTTCTGAAAATCACACCCTGGATTTTCATTTTTTTCCTTTATGAAATTGAGGCTTTTTTTTGTTTGTAGTTGGTTGGTTTTTTATTATTATTACAAAAATCCAGTTATTCCAGTGTAACCTGATACGCTGCTGCACTGAAAGCCAAGCCCCACAGGAGCCCCAGCTGAACAGCAGCAGATGTGTGAGCGTCCCCTCTTCATTCCGTTCACCTGGGTGAATGGTGTTAACTCCAAACCTGCAGTAACCATTTCAGTACAGTCAGTAGTAGTCACTTATTTTTTCTTTATGAAACACAAACAGAATTAGCAAATAAATTATTATAAAACCTGAACTAATGTATAATTAAGGGTTCATTAACTGACAATTTTTAAACCATAGAGTCTACTCTTATTTAGTAGTGTAATATAAATCTACTTTAATGTTTGGATTGATTTTTTTTTAATTAAAATGTTTTTTATTGTACTTCTAGATGAAGGTTTACAGAACAAATAGTTTCTCATTAAACTGTACACGTATTGTTCTATGTCAGTGGTTAACAACTCTACGACATGTCAAGACTGTCCCTTTTCAACCTTCGGTTCCCTGTTCCCAGCTTTCCTGTCCCCTCCTGCCTGCTAGTCCTTGTCCCTGGACTGTTGCGCCCCGTTTTGTTTTATGGGGCTGTCTGATCTTTGGCTGAACAGTGACCCTTGGGAGTGACTTCATTACTGAGCTGTAAGTGTGTCTGGGGCTCATACTCTTGGGTTTCTCCAGTCTCTGTCAGGCCAGTAAGTCTGGTCTTTATTTTGTGAGTTAGAATTTTGTTCTACATTTTTCCCCAACTCTGTCTGGGACCCTCTGTTGTGACCCCGGTTAATTTTTGGATTTTATTAAAGTTGAAGCTGTTACTAGCATTTGAAACTTTCTTGACTTAAAAATAATCTAATTAGTGATCTTTCAGATGACAGGTTTACATGAAATCTAATTTCTGCATACCAGATTATTCCTTGGCTACCTTGACATTTGAAAGGAAGTTTGTTGTTGTTAATGAGAATCTACAATATGTAGACCATTTTTCTTCTTTTGTTTTTTTATTTCAGATGGGAGCAGTATTCTGTGAACCTGCCTTTTATTGTTAACCCAGATTGTAAACTTTATTGTCAAGTGCACAGTCAGATCTGTGCTGTGTCTTATTTCCATGTGTGCTTAGAAAGAGGGAATAGATTATAGATTGTAATATTATTTTCATGGAAATGTGAGCGATTGTTAAATTCCAGTTCACTACCACTGTATTTATTGTGCTTTAGGTGAAAGTTCACAGAGCAGATTCATCTCTTACTAAACACTTAATACACATTTTTTATGATATTGGTTGCCAGCCTCACGATGTGTCAACACTCGCTCTACCCCAGGTTTTCTGTTTCCCACTCATCCAGTCTTCCTGTCCTGCCTGCTCATCTTTGCCCTTGGGTTGGTATGCCCATTAGTCACGCATAATGATTCGACTTTGAAGCATGTTCCTCATCTGTGTTACTTTTGGCCCTAGAGACCTGTCTTCGGTTACAGGGTAAACCTCAGGAATCACTTCAGGACTGTTTTAAAAGGGTGGCTGGGGGACCACTGTATTTTATTATCCATAGCCCATTGTTCTGTTTACACTGCATTAAAGGGAGAGATGATCCTTATCTTACAATTGTTAAATCAAGGATTCCTTAGGAAGAAAAGGGACTTCTCTTTCAGGAACTCATTACAAAAATAATATTACTTTTTATTTCCTGAATGGAAAGTAGATACTGATTGAGCAAACACATTTAATCCCTGAGTGGAGCAAATGGTTCAGTGCTCGACTGCTTACCAAAAGGTTGACGGTTTGAACCCACCCCCGAGGCACATCTGGAGAAAGACCTGGTGATCTGCTTCCAAAAGGCTACAGCCTTGAAAACCCTATGGAACACAGTTCTACTCTGCACACATGGGGTCACTATGAATTGGAATGGACTAGAAGGCAACTGGTAACTGACTTGACAGCACATTTAGCATGCGTATTCCTTAGTGAATTTAGTGTGAGCTGAAATTTGTTTTTATTTTGTTTGAGATGAATATGTTTTTAGTTCCTTGCTAATGATAAATTTCTTGAGCTGCTAAAAGGGTTCCTCTCTCTCTCATGCACATTAGATTAGATTATAGAGAATGGCAGTTAAGATTTGTTTGCCCTTTTGTATTTGGCTGCTTTCATTTATTTGAAAAACTATAATAAAGAATAAGTACAAAAATCATTATCTGGATGTTTTGATTGGCCTCATTCTGGCTCAGCCTCCCCCAAGAAGCATTTATGTAATTCATGTTGTTTGCAAGATTTAATTTTATCCTTGTGCTTGTAACCAGCACTGATAAAGATTGAATAATTTTTTTAAATTTTTTATTCATTCTGTGTAAACTGCATGTAAAAACTATTCCAGATTTTGATTATTGGGTCAAATCCAAAATCTTTAAAATCAGTATTGAAATGTCCATTAACTATGTGACTGATACCATCTTAAGAATGATTACTTTTCTCCACTTGCGGATGTCAGTTTTAGAGGGTGGTAGACTTGTTTTACACACACAGAGAAATAGATACACATACTGGTTTTATACTGAGTGTTATCTTACGTTTATGCAAATTGTCGTTGACAGGTTGGAAAGGGCAAAGAAATTACAAGAACAACGAGAAAAGGAAATGGTTGAAAAACAAAAACAACAAGAAATGGCTGCAGGTAATATGTTTTTCCTTTATTGTCAAAGGAAGGCGTGTTCATAGAAAATTTGAAAAGTAATAAAATCATCTGTGATTCCTACTACTCATGTATATATTGTAAACATTTTTAGTGTGTTAGTTTCCAGCTTCATAAAATCCTTTTTTATTTTTATTTTTTGTGCTTTAGATGAAAGTTTACAGCTCTAGTTAATTTCTCATTGAAAAATTTATACGCATCCTATTTTGTGACATTGGTTGCAATCCCCACAATGTGACAGCACGCTCTCCCTTTCCACCTCGGGTTCCCTGCGTCCATCTAGTTCCTACCCCTTCCTGCTTTCTCGTCCTGCTTTTGGACAAGAGCTGCGCATTTGGTCTTACATATTTGATTGAACTAAGAAGCACATTCCTCACGTGTATTTTTTGTTTTATAGGCCTGTGTGAACTTTGTCTGAAAAGTGGGCTTCGGGAATGGTTTCAGTTCTGGGTCAGAGCATTCAGGGCCATAGTTTCGCCATTCCTCTGGTCTCTTTGAGACCATTAAATCTGGTTTCACAAAATCTATACACGTATATATTTCTGATTTGATCCATACAGTTAATTTTTTTGATGAGTGTATGGTGACTATACTTTTCATGTAGTACTTTAGCCTTTATTGCCAATGTCTTTTAGTTGAAATTTTGGAAATACGGTTTATTAAAAGTTGGTGAGTTGACATGGAGTGATAGATTACATACTGTTATTTTAAGAAATCAAGTTTTTAGACTTTGCGTAAACATTGCCTGTGGATAGTTGAAGGTGATAAGAGCAAACTTAATGTGGAATTCGTATGGAATGAATCTGGAAGATGTTTTTTGCCATTCACGGTAAATAATCGGGGTTTTTTGTTTGTTTTTAATACTCCAAATTTTTACAAACACCCATTCAGTGTTTAATGCATAATTAAACAGAACTTTGTAGCTAGGTTCCCATAATGCTAGTAATTTTGAAACTTTTTAAGGTTATATTCTGAACTGTTAAATGTATAATCAGAAAGCACGTGAGTCAATTCCTGACTCTGCCACTTAAAACGGAAATCCCAGGCGTGACACTTTATGGGTCTCGGTTTTTTCATCTGTTAAATCTGCTTAACAGTTTTAAATGTTATGAGTTTCAAGTAGTGTCTATGAAATAATTTTTTAAACTATAAAGAGCCATGCAAATATAAGATCTTACTGTATTTCAGTATGTCTACACGTACTATGTACGGTTCATGTCCAGTGAAATCATATACCTTCTTACTATTTGCAGAACTATCTTCATCCTCAGAAGTAAATGAGGTTTTCGTGTATGTATTTTAGTGTGTATTTATTATTGAGTATGTATTTAGTACATACTTTAGGGATAAATGTTCTCTAAATTGTCATTGCTTTATAAGCTAAGACTCAACCAGTTCCTTATGTTTGGTGGAAATAATCCTGCCTTTTTGCAAATTAGTAGCTTTTTCTGTGTGTAAATAATGAACCTATTGTTACCCATCAAGAGATTGTTTATGTGTTAATTGCCATACTTGTCTTCAGCAGCTGCAGCTACTGGAGGTTCTGTTCTCAATGTTGCTGCCCTGTTGGCATCAGGAACACAAGTAACTCCTCAGATAGCTATGGCAGCTCAAATGGCAGCCTTGCAAGCTAAAGCTTTGGCAGAGACTGGAATAGCTGTACCTAGCTATTATAATCCAGCAGCTGTGAACCCAATGAAATTTGCTGAACAAGAGAAAAAAAGGAAAATGCTTTGGCAAGGCAAGAAAGAAGGGGTAAGTTCTTTTATTTATTCCTTTAATAGCACTAAAGAAAACCATGCAAGATCTAAGTCAAGCTTTAGCTTGGCTGCTAACCAAAAGGTCGACAGTTCAAATCCACCAGCTGCTCCTTGGAAACCCTATGGAGCAGTTCTACTCTGTCCTATAGAGTCGCTGTGAGTCAGAATGTGAGTCAGAATCCACTCAGTGACAACAGGTGAAATGGAGGGAAAAGAAGTGCTTAGCTTGGGTGTTTTCATGAGGTACTTGCTTATATTTCTTTGCTTTATTATTTCATAACAGAAATATTTAATTATAAGTTCTACTGATTATAATGCCATGAATGCTATTGTTGTTTGTCTTGCTTAGACTATATTATGGGAAGATTTAATATCCTAATAAAACATGTTAAAATATTACAGATTCTAAAATTTCATATTTGTTCACAGGACAAATCCCAGTCTGCTGAAATCTGGGAAAAACTGAATTTTGGGAATAAGGACCAAAATGTCAAATTTAGGAAATTAATGGGTATTAAGGTGAGTTACACTTTGTATTAAACTTCATATCAACTTTTTTCTTCAAGGTAACATTACCATATTTTTACACAAATGGCACGCATGTTATACTTTTTTGCCAGGCAGGCACCCTCCTTGTGCGTCGTTTTCCTCTGCCTGTTGTACGCGTTATTTGCGTAAAATAATGTAGTTCTCACCTTAAAGATATTTCAGTTATGTGTCAACTGTGGATACTTCATGGTGCTTTTCTGTTTATGATCTCTGGATTCATTGCACAGAATTAACAAACAACCCATAGTCTTCACTGGTTGACAGTATAAATTGTTGGATTTAAGTTAGCACATTCGTTGATCATTATTGAGTTTATACCTTAGATGAACCTTATTCAGCATCATGAACTCAGTAAATGAAAATGAAATCATAAGGAGGAGTTAATTTGCTTTTAAATAAAAGTTGGGGTTCTTTTGTTTTTGTTTTTTAGGATTAAGTGTACCTAGAGGGGTGGGACCTTCTTAATTTTTAAAAAGTTTCATAGAAGCTTATTTTAAACATGTAGAAAAGAGACTTCTATTTATTGAAGTGTGAATATACTGCATTAGGTATCCACCAGCAGCTCCTCGGGAAAAAGATGTGGCAATATGCCTCTGTAGAGATTGACAGCCTTGGAAAACCCTATGGGGTCGCTATGAGTCGGAATCAACTCGATGGCAGTGGGCTTTGTGTTTTTTAATACAACCACGTGGAAAGGTCCACAAATGCTCAGCCTTTGGTTACTACTAAGAGGGTTGGTATTTACGAAGGGACGCGTGGCCTAAACGAAGTACTTAGAGAGGAACAGACACTACACTAAGCTTGCTATTCCTCTTGCCAAAAGACCTTTGCATTTGCTGTATTCCTCTTGGGAACATTCTTCCGTCTGATAACCTGCCTCACTCTTTTTCTTGCTTCGTTTTGGTCTTGCTCAGAAGTCACCATTTTAGAGTCCTTTCCCACCAACCTATTTTATAAATAGCTGACATCCCCTCTCCTGGAGCACTCCATCCCCATTCTCTTTTTATCCATGGCACTTACACGCTGTGTAACATGTTCCACATTTTTACGTTTTTTGCTTCCACCACTGTAATATCGTGGATTTTTGTTAATCCTGCTGTCTCTTGATACCTAGAAGGAACATTGCCTTGCACACTGTAGGCAGTTAGTGACTAAATGGAAGCTGAGTAATTGAGATCAAATAGGAATCCAGAAAATTTGATTTAACAGTACTGTCAAGTGGGAAAATCTTTTTATCCTCATCTGAGTTCTTTAATTATTTTATATCTGATATTTAGAGTGAAGATGAAGCTGGATGTAGCTCAGTCGATGAAGAAAGTTACAAGACTTTGAAGCAGCAGGAAGAAGTATTTAGAAATCTTGATGCTCAGTATGAAATGGCAAGATCACAAACTCACACACAAAGAGGAATGGGATTGGGTTTCACATCTTCAATGCGAGGAATGGATGCAGTTTGAAAAAGATCACGCTTGTAAAAGTTTGGGACTTTATAGACTTTTCTTGTTCTGATGTCAGGTCCTTGTTCACCAACAGCTAGCATTCTAGCTTGCATGGGTGTTGCATTGACTTTAATTTATTGAAAAATACAATTTTTTGTAAATATCAGATCAGTGATACTGGTGTTAGTGTTGTAATCAGGTTAAACCCACTTCAATTAAACTTGACAGGACTACAGAAGGACAATATTTTTTAGTTGATGAATTCTACTTTTCAAATATATAAAAGCCGCAGGTGGGATAAAAATCTCATACATGGGTTTTTTGTGTCCGCTGTCTTGTGTACTTTTGTACTTAACCTTGTACAGTTATTTTCATCTCTTGAAACATGAAAGAAATGTTATGTAGATGTTCTTTAGACGATCTGGCCATTTGGTACATAATCCAGCACAAGTGAGCTGGGTGGTGATGATAATAAAAATGGTTTTCTCAAAACTGGTGTTAATGTAAATTACCTAAAATTCTTGTTTGGATTTGTTTTATGGTTTCTGTAGCATTTTGCAATTGCTATTAGAAAATACTGACTAGAAATACCCCCCTCCTTTTTTTAAGAACAATTAACTATGCTATAGGCAATACCATAGTGAGCAAAAATGTACAAGGAATGTGAAAAGAACAAGCAAAAGAAAGCTATTGAAATACTGTTTTCCTACTATCATAAGGGACAGAATTGGTGTACAGTATTTGTTAACTATTCCATGTTATTCAAGAAATAGATGAATGCATTAAAGGGATGTGTAAGCACTTTTATTTTAATAAAGTGCCTTATAACAAGTCCTTCGTATGCACTTTGCTCATTATCCCATTGAAGTCTTCTCCTGCATAATAAAGTAGCCTGAAACGCTAAAACAAGCAAACTACGTTGTCACTAAATTGAAGATATGATATAAATTTGGTGGTGAGGGGAAACTACGAAATTGGTAATTACTTTCATTACAACAGTCATAATTTTTTTCTTCATGTTCTTGCCTAAAGAAAAGCAATTATAAGTGTATCTCACTGGTATAAGTACATTCCAAATAATGAATAGTACAGTTTTTCTATGCATACAACACAATTTACCCATTAGCATTCCCTAGAAAAATCCTTTGAAAACATCTCCATAATGTAGAATAATACAAGGGACGACTGCTTATAGAGACAAAACTTAGACCCTGATTTTAAGAACTGGATGACAGTCTTACCATCTTGCTTGTTAGCTACGTCTTTGTGATACATGAAAATCAAGTGATTATAAGATATTTAACGTATTTTGGTAAATGTTTAAAATTAATTTTCCCAGAGCACAGTAATTCTCTGGAAAAATCCATGCTTCAGTGACGAAGCCAAGATTTCTGGGGAAATGACACTATGGGTCATTTGGGGTCACCACAAATTCATTTTTCAGTTGAGGTCCACCTGAAAATCCATTGAAATATTTCATGGATCTGCAAGTCACTGTGGGTGCAAAATTGTACATTAACTGCTACTGATGTTTCTAGAATATTATAGGAGCTGGCCACACATAAAATGAATAGTATGGTCTCTCATGTTCATCTAGGGTAGCACTGCCGATAAAAATACAGAAAAATGTAAGCCACATGATTTAGTAGCCAAATTTTAAAAATGAAAAGTGCTGAAGTTTAGTCAACATATCCAAAGTATTTCAACATGTAATCATTTTTATTGTGAAAATAAAACATTCGCCTATTTAACAATTTCTACGTGATTCAGTGACATATTCATCATGTTCCACCATTATTGCTGTCTTTTGAAATTATTCCTCCACAGCATGAATGCAATTTCCTCTTAGCAAAAGCCCCCTTTCCTCCCTTCCACCTCTGGTAGCCACTAACAATCTTCGGTTTCTGTATATTTCATATAAGTGAGATCATACAGCATTTGTCCTTTTGCAATTTTGCTCAGCATGTTTATTGACTAAAGTTGCTTGAGGGTACCACATGACCAAAATAGAACTTTGCTCCCAAACCTGGTTTATATCTGTTCTCTATCTCAAATGGGCACATACCAACCAGTGTTTTAAACTATGATCCTGGAAAACAATCATTTTCTCTCATTCCCCATATCCAACCCATCAGTTAGATCTATTGCTTCAACTTTATCTTTTAAATACCTTCTAATAAGGTCCCTGGGTAGCACAAACGGTTTGCAATTGACTAATGATCAAAAGGTTGGAGTTTGAACCCACCTAGTGACGCTGTGGAAGAAACGCCTAGTGATCTGTTTCCTTGAAAATTAAAAAAAAAAGTCATTGAGTCGATTCCGACTCACAGTGACCCTAAAGGACAGAGTAGAACTGCCCCATACGGTTTCAAGAAGTGGCTGGTGGATTTGAACTGCTGACCTTTTGGTTAGCAGCCATAGCTCCTAACCGCTACACCACCGGTGTTGAAGATTATAGCCAAGAAAACCATAGGGAGCAATTCTACTGTGTAACACGTGGGGTCGCCATGAGTCAGAACTGGGTTATTTCTACTTTTCTACTACCAGAAACCCTGGTGGCACGTAGTGGTTAAGAGTTCAGCTGCTAACCAAAAGGTTGGCAGTTTAAATCCACCAGGTGCTCCTTGGAAACCCTACATTTCTGTTCTGTCCTATATAGGGTCGATACGAGTTGGAATCGATTCGAAAGCAACGGTTTGTTTTGTTTTTTTTTTTCCTACTACCTACTTTTCTCCCATTCACTATTACCCCCCCCCCAAAGAAAAAGCCACTTGCCGTCAAGCCAATTCCGACTCATAGCGACCCTATAGGTCTATAGGACAGAGTAGAACTGCCCCATAGGGTTTCCAAGGAGCACTTGGTGGATTTGAACTGTATCTCTTAACCACTACACCAGCAGGGTTTCTCACTCTATGTTACTACTGCCTTAATCCAAGCTAACACTTTTTGATTTAACTACTACAACAATCTCTACTATTAATCTTGACTAGCCTCAAAGAATTTTACTCTTCCTCCATCTCCAATCCTTTCTCTACCCTGCAATCAGGACCATCTTTTCAAAATGAAAATGTGTTGATCACAAACACATCTCCTGTTTAAAATGTTTAAGTGATTTCCCAGTGTCGCGGGTGGGAGTGAATCACTAAAGTGGTCGCAAGTGTTCCAGCCTCATGTTGTTCCATTCTTTGCCTATTTATTCCACATGTGCTTTCTTCAGCCTAGAACGCTCTTCATTGCATCCTCCATGCTGTGACCGCCAACTTTGCCGTCATAATCCTTCATGTTTCATTTCAAACCTCATCTCTTCACTTCCCTGACTGCAACAGACCGTCAGGTTTCTCTGTTACATATCCATAACTTTCTGTGTTTTTATTTAACATATTTATTTAATATGATGAATACCCATCAACACCTCACTCAACCCGAGAACGGCAACATTTATAATAACTCCAGTTATTTTATTGTTTCTTTCGCTAAACTGTAGGCTTCATGAGAGCAAGAAGTTTTCTATTTTTCTCTTATATCCTCAGGTCTTAGAACAGTGCCTGGCGCATTAAAGGTGGTGAACAAATACTGGTTGAATGAATGATTGAACGAGAGAAAACACAGAAAGCTACAACAGATAAACCTAAAATAGTCTAATGATATAGCTAACTTTACATGAAAAAAGTGAAATAAGCCAAATAAACCGACGTAGTTTGTCTAAGATGATAAAGGTAGTTTGTGGCAAAATTGGAGTTCTTTATTCCCTTGTGGCTGATTAACACGCACACCACAATCTATGATAAGCCAGCCATTCGTCGGGCTCTGACTTTTAGGCCCTAGCTGTACAACAAGGACAACTCATATTGTCTAAATCCATTTCTGATCTAGTCACACTTTCTTCGTCTCTAAAAAGGACCAATCCCAGTATGCAATGCAAACAATGCGTTAACAGTCGCTTAGAAACCACAAGTCCCGGCATGCCGTGCTCCCGAGCACTCTCGGAAGTGGGGCTAGGAAAAGCCATTGCATTCTGGGAGTTGTAGTCTCTCGGGACTGGCCGCTCCTTGTGCACCCTCGGCGGCCTGCGTTTGGAGAAACCCTACGGGGTGGCTTAGAGCAGCCCAAGGGCTAGTGAGAGGTGCCGCCCTACAACCTTCGCCCAGGGCCCGGTGGCTGGCTCCGCCTCTTCTCGAATCTTTTCCCCAATCCAAAATGGCGGCAGAGGTGGATTTTGGCGACCTGGAGCTGTTCGAGGCGTTTGACCACCCGGAGGAATCGATTCCGAAGCCCGTTCACACCCGCTTCAAGGACGACGACGACGATGACGACGAGGAAGAAGAGGAAGAGAATGGGGTTGGCGACGCGGAGCTGCGGGAGCGGCTTCGGCAGTGCGAGGACACCATTGAGCGGCTCCGCGCCGAGAATATCCTTCCCGCTCGTGGGCCCTGTCACACGGGCGTGTGGTCGGGGCTTTCCTCGGGGAGTGGGGCGGCGGAAATTCCAACAGGGCCGGAATTCCAAGTAGTTCCTCTAGCCCCGCAGGCGGACTGAGAATCTGGGGTTCGTGCTGCGTAAACTGCTCCCGGGCCTCGGCGCCACTCTCGCCTCTTCTGGGGATCCCTGTCGTGGACTAGGGTCGCTCCTCCCTCCTGATTTGTTTTTTTAGGGTTATTTTAGACTGTTTCGACTGTTAGATGGTTGAATATTCATTCACCAGTATTCACCACTTCTTCCTCACGCTGTGGGTCATTATCCGATTTCATTTCTTTTGCCCCTAAGCTACAGTTGTCTAGCAATCGCGTTATAGTTTATAGCAGGAGGTACCGGGTTCTTAGACCTGGGCGCAGATCTCTTTTTAGGGCGGGGCAAAAAGCTAGTGGTCCTAAATGTGCAAAGTTGAGGGATTTAAGGGTTCCGGGCATGCAAAGAAAAATGGTTAAATGATGAAGTCTGGGATTCGTTTTAGATTTCTTCCACTTTGAGTTAGCTTCTGTGATGAAGATAGATTGCAACCCTGTGGGAAAAACGCGCCAAATAAGTTTCCATTTTCCTTCAGTTACATGATTACAGCTTTTGTAACAAGATTTGCTAGTGTGTTTATTTACATTCTTAGAGGTGTTTTTTTGTTTTTTGGTTTTTTTCACTATACATGCAGATAATTTTAATTCAGGTAGTTTTCCTTTTAAAGTTTGAAAAGAACCCTGAGAGCAGTTTAGGAGTCTTTAAGTTTAGTCTTTAAGGTTTTCAAAGTCAGATTTTTTTAAGATGCCTTTTTTCTCAACATTTTATTATGGAAAATTTCAAAATACAGAAAAGTTTAAAGGATTGTACAGGGATCGTCGTAGATTCCACCCTAGATTCTTCAATTAACATTTTGTTAGATTGTATTTGCTTAGTTTCACTTATGATGCTTTGACTTGGAAATTTTTCTTAAGTAAATGAGTAATTGTTGGCTGTTTAACTTTTGGCTGGAATACCATTATTTGTATAACGTTTTTGGTTCGTTCTGTTGGTCTCTCTTGAACCACATGCCCATGTCTTAGAATATATGTTCAAAAGGATGAAAATTTAAATACTTAGGGTCCATATGCCTACCAGCAAAACAAAAGCTCAGTAAATGAGTTCTTCTGAAGATATGTGTGGGTCTTTTAATGTGTATAATAACATTGTGACACCAAAAGTGAGACTTAGTAGTTGAATTTTACCATCTTCGTGATTCTTTACACTTTAATGATGGTTTAGAGTCCTTGGAGCCCTTGTAACACACTGGTTAAAAACTTTGCAGCTAACCAGAAGGTCAGCAGTTCAAATCCACCAGCCGCTCCTTGGAAACCCTGTGGGGCAGTTCTACTCTGTTAGGGTCACTGTGAGTCATTTGGTTTTGGTTTTTGGTTATATTGCTTAACAAGTAATAACATCAAGAACTTAAAAGAAAACTGAACATTCTGACTCGACCAAGGTACGAGGCCTTGAAATTACACCATAGTTGTTCCTTATTATTTATCCTGATATTTCTATTTAATCACTTTCTTTGAAAAAGAATGTTTAGGATTTTTGTATCATGTTTATTTGTTCAGCATACTTTTTTTTTTTTTTTTTTTTTTAACGCAGAGCATTGATCCTTTCATCTTAATTTGTAGGGGTAAGAATTTGAATTCTCATAACTGCCCACTGAGCTTTTCAACTGATTTATTGGGTGAAAGTATTTGTGAAATACAATCCAGAAATTTTTAACTTAATGTTCAGAGCAGCCAAGTTGTCAGCCTATATGTACCTATACAATAAATGTTTCAGGGAAGCTAGAAATGAAATTACAGTGTTACTCTAGCTGAAGATTTATTTACACAATTAAAATGTATACCTGAGGTTGTTCATAAGTAGAAACAATGTAAGATATGGTGCTTTAGAAGAAGAAGTAGCAGGTTTTGACAAAAGTAGAGGAAGTAGATTTGCATTCAGGCATCCAGTTTTAACAGAAAATTGAATGCTGGTGTCCATTAACATAAATTCATTTAACAGGTCACTAAATTTAAAAATATGTTAAAAGTATAAATTCATTATGTAGAACAGTATTCTCAAGCTTACAGAATTTGAGACTGCCACGATGTAGTTTCATACACTTTTTTAGGAGCCCTGGTGGCACAGTAGTTAAGACCTCGACTGTCAACCAAAAGGTCGGCAGTTCGAATCCACCAGCCGCTCCTTGAAAACCCTATAGGGCAGTTCTGTTCTGTCCTATAAGGTCACTATGAGTCAGAATCGACTCAACGACAACGACTTTGGTTTCATTGTGTGTGTGTGTGTGTGTGTGTGTGTGTGTTTTGTTTTTAGTACCAGCTGGGATAACCAGCTATATTGGTGACTAACAGTTTAAACTTTGAAATTTCAAAGTATTTCCAAAACCTTCCCCATGCCCAATCCCTCCTTTCTCTATTTGAGCACATTTCGTGGCTCTAAATTCATTTTTGATGAGGTATTAAATATATTAATTACAAGTAGGACTCCTTGTAAAAGTCATAATTTTTGTAGATTTAAAAATATTTTGTATCAATTAGCACAAATTTTCTAATGGAATTAATTGCTTACACATGAAATACATACTAGAAAAGGGTGCTAATCACCTGGGTTCACATGATTACAGCGTCCTAGGGTTTGGTAGTTTTTAAGAAGAAAGTATCAGCATCATAAAAAAAGGAAGAAATTATCTAGAATTGGTAATCTCCATGGTGTCAGAGTGATAAAGCATTCAACAGAAAAACATGGAAGAATGAGAAATAGAATTATTTGGATAAAACGTTATCATAAAACTCTTGGTTTAATCCTTATATTCTGAACTGTCATAACTGGAAGCATCTTCTCTTTTTTGCAAAAATAAACATTTAAAAAAAATTTTTTTTTATTGTACTTTAGGTGAAGGTTTACAGAACAAATAGTTTCTCATTAAACAGTCAGTACACATTGTTTTATGACATTAGTTAACAACCCAACGACATGTCAACACTCTCCCTTCCGGACCTTGGAGGACCTTTTTTTCTTTTTTTTGTGAAAATATACATAGCCAAAGATACACGATCTCAAAAATTTCTACCTGTACAGTTCAGTGGCATAGATTACGTTCTTCCAGTTGTGCTGCTATTCTCGCTATCCTTTTCCAGATTATTCCATCACCATTGTCTCCAACTCACTGTCCCCTAGGCTTCCCATCAAACCATTTGTTAAACATTTATTTTTAAAAACTGAAGCTTGCACATGTTGAAACAAGACCCTGAACTTTTTCGTATTTTACTTTTATTTTCGTTAATGTGAACAATTCCAAATACAGACTGATTCATTTCACTTGCTAGACAGGTAGAGGAATATGGGGCAGATGAGAAGAGGAGGAATTGGAGATTCAGCTGGCACCACGTTGCTGAAGGGATATATCGTAGGTCTCCGGACTGCCTTCTAGTTTTATTTTTTGCAGTATTTGAAAGTCAAATCCGGAAACAGTTTACTTTTTACAACTCTGTTCTACAATCTTGGATTTGAGATATTTAGTGCAATGTGTGTTGCCCTTCAAGAGCCTATCCATTTATAAAGTGTTTCATGTTCCTATATACTTCCTAGCAGAAATTCACTAGATTCTTTTAGAAGTATATGTTCTTGTAACCTGCTGGTATGTCTAGATCCCCCTTGCTTTGTAAAGAAACTAGTGATTAGGTAAAGAAGCTTTTTGGGTGAGAGCTGAAAGATTAACCAGTTTTTCTTTTTTCCGTTTTTTTTTTGGTGAAACATTTTAAAATATATATTAAATAATGGATACCACTGTGTAAAACAGCTTAGAGTAAGTAGAATTGGTGATAACATGTATTTTCCTATTCTTGAGAAAAATTCAGTTCTTCATGGTTTTTTATCTTACTTGTAAAAAATTAGATGATCTTTGGTACTTAAGAATTATAGACGTTATATGTTTACAGTACATATGCAAGTTTTACTCTGCTGAGAATATATTTTAACTTCTGTTTTAGTGGAATATTGGTGAACAATACTAAGTTAGATGGACCTTTATTACAGATTCTCTTTATGAACAATGCTATTTCAAAGTAAGTAATTTTTTTTCCTTTCCTAAATATAATGAGTTAATGTGTTTGTGTATGTCTTCTATAAAATTGCTGTTTTCTTTTGCGCTTGAAGTATCTTTATTCTTTTACTAAAATGTTCCTAAAGTTAAAATTTATGGAATAATGATTAAAGTAAGAACATTGGAGTCAATACAGACCTGAATTTGAATCTGGACTCCTACTTTCTATATCTGTGAACCTGAACAAATCATCGGACGTTTCTGCACTGAAAACAGGATATGAATCTTAACTAAAAGCACCTATAGGTGTTTCTGGGTGGCACAAACGGTTAAACACTCAACTTATAGCTGAAAGGCTGGCAGTTCGAACCCACTCAGAGACACCTCAGAAGGCAGGCGCAGCAGTCTGCTTCCGAAAGGTCACGGTCTTGAAAACCCTATAGAGCAGTTCTACTCTGCACACGTCGGGTCACCATGAGTCGGAGTCATCTCGACGGCAGCTAATAACATCAAAGAGCCGAGTAAATAAAAAACCAAAGCCAATGCCATTCAGTCGATTCCCACTCCTAGGGACCCTAGAGGATAGAGTAGAACCGCCCCATAGGGTTTCCAAGGCAGTGATCCTTATGGAAGCAGACTGCCATGTCTTTCTCCCGTGGAGGGAGCAGCTGGTGGGTTGGAACCGCCAACCTTTTGGTTAGCAGCCATGCGCTTAAACGCTGCCCCACTAAGCCTCCTTCTGCTCAATAAATAGCATCTAATAAAAACAACCACCACCACAACAATCATAATGTTAACCATTTCTCTCCCAAGATAATTTTTTAAATATCGTAACTAGAGCTTTGTAGCCTTCCAGCGTGCTTGGGTCTGGGGGGACTCCCTGCCTTCCTGCAGTGCTTGCCAGAGTGTTCTGAAATGGTTGGAGGGCTCGCCCCATCCCTTCCTCAGAGCATGGGCATAGACATTTCAGACAGTTGCTTGGCCCCCCTGAATTGCTTAATCAGATTATCATCTTATATGCTGGGCAAAGTGAAGAGAATATATGTAGTGTTACTTGTGTGCCAGGCCATTACCTGCTTCTTCTCAGCAGAAGTGGAACCTGAGGCTCTGGGGGGGTGGGGAAGCTGGATGGTGATGAGTGTGGCATCAGCAAGGTGCTGGGCACAACTGGGTCCTCATACTGCTTTCTCCATCTTTCTAGAATCTGTATCTACTGTTACTCGTGACAGTCCCACTTCTACACCATATACCTGGTGTCTCGCCTACAGAAATCCTAGACTGTCAGAGCTAGAAAAAACCTAAAGATCACATAGTCTATGAAGGGGAAGCTGATTCTGAGACCTTGTGGCTGCCCAGTGGCAGCCCAACAAGGCCTGGGCTCCCTTGGCAATTTCTGGACTGAGCAATAAAGATTATTTCAGGAATGTGGCTTTTCACTTGGAGGAGTAGAGAAAGTAGACCTCAGTATTTTTTCTTACATTGCTTTTTGGGTTTATTTTTTCCAGTTTATGATTTATGTGAGTGTTTCCTTATATTTGCATAAAGAATCTGGGAGGAGGCTACATAAGGACTGAATACATTGTTTGCCTTTGCGTTGTGGAAGTAGATGGCTAGGAGACAGGATAGGAAGAAAACCTCATTACATAACCTTTATTTCTTTTGAATTTTCAACTATTGATGTGTATTATCTATTTGTAAATTAAGTCCATAAAATTTTAAAATAAGATCATTTTATTTTTTGAACAAATATTTGGCAATCATAAGCCAAGCACTTTACTGGGTTGTCATAATCATTTCTTTAACTTGACAACAATGTGTATCTTTTCCTAAGGAATAGGTTCCTGAATGTTACAAAGAATCAGTGATTTGATAAGCCTCTAAAAACAATAATAAAATTTACATATGGCCTCTTATAATATGCATAAGACTTCGATCTATTACATGTTTTTCTGTGTTTGGGTTCTGACCATTTTGTCCTCTTATGCAGGCAATATCATCAAGAAATAGAGGAATTTGTATCAAATTTAGTAAAAAGATTTGAGGAACAGCAGAAAAATGATGTGGAAAAGACTTCCTTTAATCTTTTGCCCCAGGTATTTCAAACTTAAGAGAATTTAAGATTAGTAGGTTATTCTGTTCACTGGCAATTATTAGGCCACAGGGATCCTCTTATCAAAACCAAAAGGTTTATTGAGATTGTTTCTTCACTTCCCACTCTTGAACTGGTGTCCTAGTTCACAGTCTGGCCGATACAGCCATCTGGCTTTCTTTTGATTGTGGCTCTTTTGGCCGGGGGAGTCATATGCAGACCTGCTACACGCAAAAGTAAAGCCTGAGCACATGGTTTTGGGGACAGAAAGTTAATTTCAGGCCAGGAAAAAAAAACAAAACAAAACTGTATTTCTGGAGTTTCTAACAGATGGATTCTTTTATAAATTATTGTGAAAAATTATAATTCTTTTATTTAAAACTGACAGACTCCTGTGTTAAAATAGATATGTTCTTTTTTTTCTTTCACTTGTTTAAAAGAAAATCAATAGTGTCCCCACAAAAGTCTTGAGAATGTTATTCATATGAATATTAGACCACATATATCTGTAAAAAAAAGGAATCAGAATTGTGTTTTCTGGCTTTTTTGTTTTGTTTTGTTTTGCTTAAATTAAAAGTAAGGTAAGTAGAGTCTCTGAAATAACCTAAAAGAAAAACTTTTTAGCTATTTATCCTCGGAGGTTGGAAAATGAAGTGTCCTGATTAAATTTTTTGCCTATCACTTTTAGTTTTTACCTATCATATACAGTTTTTAGAGAATCAAGGAACAAAATACATTTAACAATATAAAAATATGAAATCATGATGAATATTATTTAATTTTTGATCCAAAGAACACTTCAGAATATTATAGTGTCCCAAGGGTTGTTACGAACATCAGTATTGACCAAAACAAACAAAAAACACCTGTCGCTGTCGAGTCAGTTCCGACTCATAGCTACTCTATAGGACAGAGTAGAACTGCTCCATGGGGTTTCCAAGGAGCGGCCAGCTGGTGGATTCAAACTGCTGACCTTTTGGTTAGCAGCTGTACCTACCACTTAACCAGTACACCACCAGGGTTTCCTCAGTATTAACCAGTAATGTGAAATTATATATGTTTTCATCTTTCTAGTTATCTGATTTCAAGATAAACTAAAGTCTCTGGCCAGTTTAAGTGTTCAAGTTCCATCAATGTTCATGAACACAAAAGGCATAGTATATGCTAATGCCTCAGAAGAGGCGGTCTTTGTAGACCTTTAATCTTTAAAATTTCCCACTGGTGAAATTTCTTTCATAGACATCTCTAGCTTAACTTCTAAACTCACTCTAATTATGACAGTGATGGCTCCAAAATACTGTAGACTCTGTTGGTATCTATTAGAAATTAAAAGGAGTGTGTTCAGATCCCTAAGGTTGGAAATTTTAAAAATCGATAACCCTTTGTAACGTGTGTTTTTTCTTTGTATTAGCCATCCAGTATCGTACTAGAAGAGGACCACAAAGCAGAAGAACCCTGTGCCATTACAAATAACACAGAAGCTTTTAGTGTAAGTTTGGGCATTTTGGTTTTGAATTCTGCAGATCTGTGTTTCCCATCCTTTGGTGGTTGGGTGACACTTAAATAATGAAGTGGTATAGTCATATGTCATCAATGATCACAACATTCTTTTGTTATGTTATTATGAATAACAGCATAGCCTTCAGACTCTTAATATTATAGTCTGCTTTTTAATAACTATTGCATTGTTTGCTGGAAGCACAGTAGGCATACTTTGGAGGACTTTGTTTTTGTCCTGACCTCCTTGCATTTATTTCCAAGGACATGGATGAAGATACATGTTTGTTGAATTTACAAGTGACGTGAATATGAGGGATAGCTAGCTAATATGACAGACGGCAGATTTCAAAGTGCAAAAATTGTAACAGACTAGAATAGTGGGTGAAAACTAGAAGAAACTTTACAGGGATGAAGCTGTGTTTAGGCTAACAGCCGTTCAGTACATGCAGACTTTGCTAGTGTCAATACCATCTAGTGATGTGACTCTGCAGCTTATCATTTTCTTAAAAAGATAATGTAATCTTGGATCCTATTAAAGAAAGACTAGGTTTCATGCTTATGGGTTATGCCCCATTGATACACCATGATTTTAATAACACTGGGCTGCTGAGATGATGAAGAGCCCACAAACCTTCTTGAAAAGCAGGTTAGAGATGCAACATTTCTGCAGATAAAAGAAAGGTTGTTCTTTGCATAGAGTATTGTTTTAGATCATCCTTTATATGCCAAGTGGCAGAATTAGGACCAGTGAGTGAACTGGGTAGAAGAAGACACATTTCAACTTAACTTTTAGAAAACTAAAATTCCTTACAATGGGGATGTGAAAAATGAAATGATATGTCCCATTAAAAAAGAAAAAATTAAGTGAATTCATTGTTTACTTCAAAGAGTCAAAGACTGAGATGCCGTCAGGGTACTTTAAAGAAAGATTTCTAAATTTGAACTAGGTAACTTTTCATTTACCTTCTAACTCAGAGATTCTGGGATTTAAAGTGGCACCTTCCTAGAAATGGGGGAATTTCGTTTCTCGATTTAGTTATTTAGCAAATACTAATAAGTATTTACTGAATGCTGCTGTGTACCAGGGACTGTTCTAGGATCCAGCAACACAGCAATAGAAAAAAACTAGGTAAAGCCCGTGTTCTCTTTGAATTATATTCTAGTGGGAGAGGCGGTGCTGTAAAGCAAAATAAAGCAGGCAAGGAGTTAGGAAGTAACTGTGGGGTAGGGGCTTTTTATAGGAGTGGTTTAGTGACAGCCTTGCTGAGCCAAGAGCTGAGTGAATTGAGAGAGTGAGCCTGCTGCTGTTAGAGTAAAGAGTATTCTGGGCAGTAGGAAAGGTAAGTGGGAAAGCCGTGAGGCAGAGGCCACCGCATCCGTCTTGGTTACTGTGTACCAGGCGCTGCTCTGAGCTCATTACAGATGCAGCTCATGAAGGTACCGTTACTCTCATTTTACAGATGAGGAAGCAGACACACAGGCAGTCCCGGGTTACGAACGTCTGACTTATAGGCAGCTCGTACTTAAAAACGGACTGCCTTAAAGCCTAGTACATTAAAAATTGGACTTAAATACAAACAGTCGTCTGTAATAACGAATGCACACACTACTTGGTGACTCTCATGACAACATTATGCAGTTTGGAAGTGTTTCTTAAGTGTTTTATATGCATAGAAAGGTAAAACGTATACTATATTCTAAGACTAACATTTGACTAACTGACGCTAAATAAGAACTGTATCTACCTATTCCGACTTACCTACAAATTTGACTTAAAGACAGGCTTAGGAACAGATCTTGTTTGTAACCTGGGGACTGCCTGTAGAAAGCTAAGTGGCAGAGCCAGGGTTTGAATTGAGGCCATGTGACTCCTGAGTCTATGTTCTGAATCCCTAGGTTGCCTTATAGGCCATAGTGAGCACTTTGGATTTTACTCTGAGTGAGATGAGAAGATATTGGAGGATTGTAAGTAGAGATGTGTCATGATATGATTTGAACTTTTAAAAGAACTGGCTTCTGTGTGGAAAATAGTTTACAGGTAGTTAAGTGTGAAAACCGGAAATCCGATTAGGAAGAGAAAATGTTGGCTTTGACTAGAATGATGATAGTGGTGGTGAGAAGTCCTTAGAACTTGGATATGGTTTGAAAGTAGAGCTAATCAAATTTGTTAATGAATTAAATGTAGAATCTGAGAGAGAAAGAGTAGTCGGGATGACTCAGGTGTCTGGCCTGAGCACCTGGAAGAATGGAGGAGGAGCAGGTTTGGAGGAGGTGGGAAGTCAGTTTGATTTTTAATATGTGGGTTTGAGATGCTTGTTACACATCCAGGTAGAGCCGTCAAATCAGCCCTTGGATACACAAGATTGGCGTTTAGAAGGATCGGGATTGGACATTTGGGTGTCATCAGTATATAAATTATATTTCATTCCCTGGATCCAGGTGAATCACCTAGGGAGTGAAAGAAGAGAGGAGGTGTAAGGACTGAGCCCTAGGGCACCCCAGTATATAGACAGATCTAGCAGAGGAGAGTGAGAAGGAGCGGTCAGCAAGGCAGGAAGAGAACCGAGAGAACAGAGTCTTGGAAGCCTAGGGAAGAAGATGTTTCCAGAAGGAAGGAGGAATCAGCTGGGCCAGTTGTTGCTGGTCAGTGGAGTGAGATGAAGACAGGACTGTCCATTGAACTGGGATTCACTGGGGCTGTTGGTGAACTCATCGTCAACAAGCTGAGTGCAGTAACAGGAACAAAAGCCTTCCTGGAGAAGTTCAGGGGAGAATGGCAGTATCATTTAGGAAAGAAAAAAAGGGGGGGGATTGTTCTAGATTAAAAGAGACTAAAGAGATGTAACATCTAAATGCAATGTGTGAACCTTTATCAAATCCTGGTTGGGTGGAAAAGCTATAAAAGGCATTTTGGGGACAACTGGGAGAACTGAATATGGGTTGGATATTAGATGACATTGGAGAATTATCATTGTCTTAGGTGTGACAATGGTATTGTGGTTTCTAAGAGGATGTTCTTATTCTTAGAAGATATACACAGAAGTGTTTAGGGGTGAAGTATAATGATGTCTGCAACTTTCAAATGGTTCAGTAAAAAAGTGTATATGTGTGTGTGTGTGTGTGATGTATGGAGAAAGACATGCACAAAGATGTGGCAAACTATTAATAATGATTGAATTTAGGTGGAGGGTACATGGGTGTTCATTGTACCATTCTTTTGAGTTTTCTATATGACATTTTTTCCAAAAATAAACTGGGGGCAAAAGAAAAAGAAGAGAGAATGGGAGGAAAGGAAATGGAGCCGTTAAATAGAGACAACTTTCCTGAACGTCTTGCTGTGAAAGGGAAGCAAGGAGATGGGAAATGGGAAGGTCAGGGCTTTTATTTTGTTTGTTCTTGTTTTAAGTCTGAAGAGAGTGAGCCGGTAGAGGTGATCTAGGAGGGAGAGGGAATCTGAAGGTGTAGCTTTTACTTACACGTCAAAATCTGGCTCATGTAATTAGGGAGTTGATGATTATTTCTAATTTCATCCAAAAATAAATTGTTAAGGCAATTAATCATATTCTTACATTATTCAATGTCTTTTTTCTTGCTTAAATAGCAATATCTTTTGACTTGTTTTCTGCAGGTTGTAGGAAGTGTCCTGTATTTTACTAATTTTTGCCTTGATAAATTGGGGCAACCGCTTCTAAATGAAAACCCTCAGCTTACGGAAGGATGGGAAATACCCAAGTATCCTACATACTGAATGAAGATCTCTTGTGCACCTTGCCATTAAGTTCACCTTTAAAAATTTTTTACCAAATTTTGCAGACTATGATAACTATTCCTTAATAAAATTCATTAAAGGTACCAGCAAGTCTTCAGCCAGATTGTTTCTCTAGAAGGGCAAGAAATACAAGTAAAGGCAAAAAGGTTTGTGTGGGGAGTTGTTTTTGTTTTATCCTTGTGTTTTTGTTTTGTTTTTAACCAAAACCATAAAACCTTTAAACTTAAAAAGTAAATATTCTTTATTACTGGCTTACTATAAAGTAAATTACAGATTAAGATAGAAGTTTAATATACGTATTTAAATCGACCATCTGTTTATTGGAACTCATTGGTTCGCGCCTAACGTGCCTGGGTGGGTGGAAAGGTAATTGTTGCTGTTGATTTCACTGCTGTCTTGTAACCACCTGCCTCTTTCCATGTTACCTGAAGGAACTCTGTTATCTGTTTGCCTCAATTCTTCTGTTATTAACCACTGTAAAAACCCAAAGAGGTAACAGATTCTGTCAGGAACATAAGGGTTCCTGGGTAAAAGACTATGCACCGTACTGCCAAGTACGGGAGGTATAGATCAATAAGTGCATATTATTATTGGAGATCTTAGTAATTTGTGATCTACTTGCTTGTCTCTCTGATAAAGTTTGCTGTCGTAGGGAATTTTATTGATTTGCTTTTATATTTTCATTTACATCTTGAAAATCTTTGTCTTTTGACCAAATAGGCCAAAGCCCCACTGTTTCAATTGTGGTTCGGAAGAGCATCAAATGAAAGATTGCCCAATGGTAAATTTTTCTCATATAAAAACATGTCTTTGAACTGAAGCTTTCCCTTGTTCTTAGCACGTTTATAGAATTGTGCGATGTGAAGAAACTTCATGTGTTTCTTTCCTGTAATCCTTTCATTTGAAATCTTTTCAGATTTCATATGTTTATATATTAAGACATCCGTTTTTTAGTTTTTTACAAAAATTGTTTATTACGGCGCTGTCTCTGTGTGGGATGTGTGTAACATTATGAGAGTTGGTTTTAAGATAGTTTATTCAAAAAACTTAATTTTTTAGACACATGACATAAAATCATGTGTTTATGTTGTAATAATACTGAGGAAATAAGTGAAAGGAACTGCTTTTCTTCCTTGCTTATTTTCCTAAAATATCCACTCTTTTACTAATGTTGTTCCTTATACATTAAAACGGAAATAATTGTTTGCTTGACCTTAAAAAAAGTGCTTATTTTTATTTAATTTCTGAAATATTTCTAAACTACTCTTTCAAACGTATTATGACACCATTCTTTTCAAACATGTTGTGATCTAGCCTCGGAATGCTGCTCGAATATATGAAAAGAGAAAAGAGTTCTTGGATGCCTGTGGTGAGGCAAACAATCAGAATTTTCAGCAGCGGTACCACGCAGAAGAAGTGGAAGAAAGATTTGGAAGATTCAAGCCAGGAGTTATTAGGTACCTCTGTCATTTCACCATAGACACGTCATTTTTCCCCAGTATTTCAAACATCTTATGTATCTTCAGGGTAATTGTCAGTATATAAATCGACTCTATCAAGGCCCTAAGTACATACATCAATTCATTCAAAAACATTTATGGACATCGTAACTGTGTATTTGTATGCCATATATCATGGTACTGTAAGACAGAAATGTTTTCAAGTAGCAATACGATATATTTTCATCCAAGCAATAATACAGCATTTTTCTTCCTCTTTTATTTTTATTTAGTGAGGAGCTTCAGGATGCACTTGGGGTGACGGACAGGAGTCTCCCACCTTTTATATATCGAATGCGCCAACTGGGATACCCACCAGGTTGGCTCAAAGAGGCTGAACTGGAAAATTCAGGGCTTGCACTCTATGACGGAAAAGGTGTGTCAGATTCGATAAGTCAGCTTAAGTGTTACCTTATTTCTTTTTTAAATTGAAAGACTCACATCAAAATGTAATACAGATGTCTGGCTGAGTTAACCAAAAAATAGCAAGATGATGTTTCCTCTGTTTTGCAAGGAAGTAACTGTAACTTCAGTGAGCAGGTAGAATGACTAGATGGTTATCTGGACTTGCTCAGTGCCTCCCCAGCCCATTGTAGAGATTTTCCAGCTCATCCTCATAGGTTCTTGCCTGTTTCAGTACTTGCCTTTCGAAGTAATGGCAACAGACGTATGTCTGTCAATGCCAGGGGAACAGTACAATTTAAACCCGTTGCCATCGAGTTGATTCTGACTCATAGCGACCCTATAGGACAAGATAGAACTGCCCCATAGGGTTTCCAAGGAGAGGCTGGTGGATTCGAACTGGCAACCTTTTGGCTAGCAGCCTGAGCTCTTAACCACCGTGCCACCAGGGCTCCATCAATTTAAGACTACATAAATCCTCAATTATAAAATTATACAATTTAAGACTACATAAATCCTCAATTCTAAAATTAAACAATTGAAGACTATGTAAATCCTCAGTTCTAAAATCCCTCCTATGCAGCTACCTCAGATCTGCGTGCTCACATGTATACACAAGGAAATACATACAAGGATATTTTTGTAGCATTGAATATGAGAGTGAAAAATTAGAAAGAAAAGCTCTAAAGGGGAATGGCTACATAAACTTCGGTAGATCTGGGCTGTGGAATACCTATAACATTTAAAAAAAGAGTATAGGATAAATTCCTATAAGCTGACATGGCAAAATCTCTGGAATACTGAGTGAGAAAAAGTAAGTTTCTGAACAGCTCACATATGATTCCATTTATCTTAAAAAGAAAAAAAAGAAAAAAGAAAAGACAAACCTACATGGATGAAACAGTGCTGTATTTTCTCTGAAGACTTGTGTACTTAAAAAATATTCTTAAAAGGTTTGGGCCATTATACGAAAACTCAACAGTGGTTAACTGCTGAGAAAGGGAAAGAGGATTGGGCTAAGGACTTTAGTTTTACCTCTAATGCTGCCAGTTTTTTAAGATGAAGATGTGTCCATGTGTTACTTTGGTAATTCAAAATAAAAATGCGAAAACAAAATTTTTCACAAGTCCCACTCTCTCCCCCAAATAGCACCAAAAAGATACTTGGCATGGTCCTCTTAATGTGTCCCAAAGTCTCAGTAACGTTCAGACTATCCCATACTGGCATCTAGCAGTAGTAACACCTTTGATGGTCTGTAATAGATGGTGCTGATGGGGAGGCAGAAGCTGGCGAAGTACAACAGAATAAAAGCGTCACTTACGATCTCTCCAAACTGGTAAACTATCCAGGTTTTAATATATCTACTCCCAGAGGAATTCCAGATGTAAGTATATTGTTTGTTTCTTTATTCTGGGATGTAACGTTATTATGTTAAAGATTGTTCAGCACATTAGCTTACGTACCAGTTACTGTTACATGAAGAAGTAGATACAGTGGTAGATAGGAGGTAAAATCAAATGACGAGATTTGTCTCCCTAATTTTGGTATATTAGCTTTTCAAATTTTAGGAAAACGTATAAACTCTTAAATGTATATTTTTAAAAGTATATTTTAAATACTTTAAAATCTGGGATGAATATAAAATGTTAACATTGAGGGAAACTGCA